TTAACAACATTTTCTGACCATCATTCTCCATGTCATCACAGCTTCAACCAAAGCTTGTAAAACAAAAATCAGAGTCAATTTATTTCAGAAAAATTCCCAATTACATTTTGTACACATACAAAATCCATTGTGGTTGCCGAATAATTGCATTTAAAGCCCTTCACTTTCCAAATAGGTCATAAAGGGCCAGCACCATCCCCCACTTTAAGTTCACAGAACTCACCTGTAACCAGGAAAAGGTGAGAAGAGCTTTCAGCTTGACTATTTTATTTCAATGCCCTGCGTGGCTATTCACCGGTAGACAAATATCTGATTTATTGATGGTCTTAGATAGGGATTTCGTTAATTGACATATTGCCGCTGAAACTTGCACTCGCGAATGTATTTCAAAGATGCGGATGTATCTTACAGATGCGGATGAATCTGAAAGATGCGATGCGTTGCGGTCAGATGCGATGCTCTCACGCGACTGATTTTCGGTGTTTTTGGTGCTCGGTGTCTTGTGTCTTCGGTATGTTTGCTATTCGGTTTTTTCGGTGTCCATCGGGTCTCTCTGTTCTCCGCTCGTAGTTGTTTTTGTTCCTCCTGGAGGGCAAACAATTTCTGTTTTTGTGGGACAACCAACCGACAAACAAAAGCACAAGCAAACTGAATCAAAATAAATGCCTTAAATAATTTATGTCATTTCTTATGGCAGCCGAATGCGAACAGAAAATGTAATCAAATTTTGCTTAATTGAACCTCTGAACTATTTTTCCGAATTAGATATTATATTTTGTAAATTTAAAAACTGAGGATTACCGTTCAATACTCCACGCGCGAGAGAATTTCGAGAAAAACACACTGAAAACTGGAGACGTCCACTCCGCTGGCTGACTCGAACTGGATTAAAAAGCTGCCAGCCGCTTGCCGCCTTCATTTCCTCCTCGAAGAGAGTGGAAAATCCAGAGAGGGAGAGTGTATCTATTAAGTTCCATTTGTGGACTTCCATTGACACCCTTTTTCCCCATTTCGGTGGCATCGCCTGTTCCACTGTCACTTGTTCCGCACCAGCTCTGGACAAGTACAGCTGATTACCCCCTTCCAGGTTTCTACTTTCACCAGTAACTTCTAGATAGCCTTTGCACTCCAATCAGCTGTTTCTTAAACACATCACAATTGTCACATTTTTATTTTTTCATTTGCAAGTACTTTAGTTATAAAATATTTATCAAGGAATTCAAAACTTTTCAATTGATTGAAAGATTGTTTTTAGATAATTGTTCTCAGGGAAGTGTGTACGAACATCATTTGTTAAAATTAAATAAATTAAACGCAACAGGGCAGTTAGTACATAGTTCCATATTACTTTAAATAATTTATTACTATATATTATTATTAATATGTCCAACAACTTAAGTTAAGATTAAAAATAGTTTATAAAGAGAATGACATAAGGAGTAGATTTTGCATAATATAATATAAAACTATAAATAATTTGAGGACAAAAGTATTTTATTTAGCTAATTCCAAATTTTAATAACAAAGTAGCAAGCAAAATATTTTTTATAGTTTGTTTTGCTTCCACGAATTTTAAGTTTCCCGCATCACGGTATAACGTTATCTATTCGAATAAATTGTTTAAGATTGAGAGAGGATAGCAGCTTTCTCTTCCAGTCCCAAAGCTTCGGCTGAGCACCGAGGGAAAAGAGTGATGGCAATAGCTTTTCTCCAGCTAAGCGGCTACTGGGAGCTTTTACTCAACTTACTCAATAGCATTGAAAATGCGCTGCCTTTGTTGTTTCCCCCGTTCGCTTCGTTCGCGTTTCATTGATGCCCAAATATAGGTCAACAATGTCTTCGAGAGTGGGTGGTTGTTGGGTGGAAGGGGTTGGCCAAAGGCTGGTGGGTGGTACAACGCCATCACTGAATTATCAGTGGCAGCAAGCGAGGGCAGCGGTGGATGCGATGATGCTATCTGAGAGACACGGCAAACATTGTAAATACTCGCCTGACGATGATTGCTAGCGCTCACCTCGCAACTAGTAACTCAAAACAAATTGCATGACATTGCGCATACGCCGCGTTATCGGCGTGGAATTTATGACGGCACACTCGCCTTCTGTTTATGTCCTTTGGCCAGCCGCCGCCGACTTTAATTGAATTTTTATGTGCCGCCAGCAGTCGGCGAGCGTCAGAGAAAAGTGAAAAGTCTTTGCTGTCATCTTCGGCCTCTTTATTCTATACAGAGAAAAAAGCACAACAACTGAGAAAAAAACGAACTTACATAGTTTAATAGAAATTAGGGCTATCAAAATAAATTCAGGCCTTGTTTTAAAAATTAAACTTATGTCTTCAGCGTATCAGAACATGGACTTGTAAATATTCATGAATAAATATGTCATCAACTGGATTTTTTTCCGTATATCAGTTTGTTTTTTTTTTGGTATACCAAAGCAATAAAAAACAGTTCTACAAGGAAGTCTACATAAAGTCGCAATTACGTAATTGTTCTTAACTTTTCTGTTAATTAACTTCAATTTTTTTTGTTTATATGTTTGTGAGCAAATAATTACTTAATAATTCTTAATTACTTTAAGTTGATTACATTTCTCAGTGTAAAGCCTCCTTAGGCTCTTCTTTGTAGTGTCCGTCGCTAGACTTATGACGTCCGAAATTGGGTCAAAAGCTGAGCCCGCTCAGCTGACTTAGCTGTCCCAGTTCGTCCGCGTGTTGCTCCTGCTAAGCACACTCACAGGATAATCCTAATTGCGCTTTTAACGCGCGACTTTGGCCCATCGCGAGAGCTTTTCATGAGGGTTCGTTGCATTCCGCCAAGGACTCGCTGCGATAAAGAAAAAAAAGCCGAGGGGGATTAATGCTTGCAGCTGGCTGAATTGGCAGCCACATCCTTCTCCGCTCGGGAAAGTCACACCCCAGATGCCACAGAAGAGCCCGCGTCTTCCGATGTGTTTCATTCGGCACGTGCCATTCGACGTCCCCCTGGGCACCTGAAATTTATTACAGCCACTTGGAGCTGCTCCCTCGCTTATCGCCGTACAATTTGCTAAGGCCAAAATAATCTACTGGCAGCGATGACGTTGTGGCCAACAGCAAAATAAAGGTGGCCCTCCCCCAAATCCAATTCAGTATAAACGAGCTGAAGGTGAACTGCAGTCGCTCCGCGGTAATCTGGTAGTAGTACTTTAAGATACATTTATAAGTATTACACGATGTGTTCTTTGTTAAATTTTTATTCTATTTTACACTTCTGCGTACCTTATCTATATTCCTTCAAATCATAATATCATTTAAAGTGCAAATAGAATTGGATTATATTGGATTCATGTTTACCTATTCCACCGTGCATTTGAAAGTTTATTATCATCTGCAAGAAAATAAATATTTAGGTAAACAAATGAATGGTTTTACGAACCTATTGTTTTATTATGCTATTCAATAGAATTTTCTTTCAGTACTTAATGCACACAGGCCACATGTCATATGAGTACCTCTTTTCGAAGTAACAGCCTAGTTAATTCCTTCAAAAATATTCTTAAGTCAATTGATTAAATAAAAAGTTTACTTTTTTTTGCTAGGAACAAGTCGGCAGTTGCACTCAAAATGGATTTGAATTTGTTTACCTGTTACTAATGTTATCTCTGCCACTGGTCGCTAAATAAACAAACCCATTCAATTATGATTATAATTCTTAACAAATTACCGAAGCTGATGACAAGCGCTGTCGTATTGAGCGATATCCAAACGCTGCTGTGAATGACGAATAGTCAACAAATGTTTAATTGTTGAACTTTGTTATCTTTATTGAAATGGAAGTTTATGGAATCGAAAGCAATACGTGGGGTAATTGGGGTAGAAATATAATTTCAAATAATTTTTTTTTGATTTTTTTTTAAACCATTTCATGCGAAATGACACCTGATTGTGATATTTATAACATTTACTTGAACTGCGTAGTAAAGTGTTATATTTATGTCATTGAGCAAATAATCAATTCTTATTGTTAAAAAAATAGATAAAGAACCAGCCTTTCAAGAAAATTAAATAAATATATTTTAAGCATTTTGTTTTCCTTAAAAATATTATAAAGCCAAAAACTGAATAAAATTAAAAATTTAAAACGTTCTACACATTATTTTGAGGTATGCATTTCGTGATTGAAATTTTAGGTATAAAGCAGTTTAAAAAATTAAATAAGGAGAGGGATAAAGGAATAAATGGAAAAAATTGTTAAATCGTGCTAAAGAATATATTGAACGTTTATATGCCCAATATTTATGAGTCATGTACTTTAAATATCTCAGTCAAAGCAATATATTCATCATTTAAATTATACATTAGCTTAAAAACTTTATGCATAAATTCGTCGAAATAAACATTAATTTTATATATTTTTACTGATTTCTATCAAATATGTTCTTTAAATATGCATCAATATATTTTAAACTTACATTTAAAATCACAAGGAATTCAATGAATGAAGTCAAATGAAGCAAATAAGGATTATTAATGAAATAGATCTAGTGGGTAAGGGTTAGTATCACAGAAAGGTACTTCCCCCAAATCTTAATCAATTGTATTCAGCCTTCGACCGTAGTCACAACCCCTCAGAGTCAGGTACTTAAGATTGCATTATATTGGCGTTAGCTTGCGTTATCCAAACCCATACCTCATCCACATGACCAATCACATGACTCATGGGCAGGTCAGTAACGGTTGTACTCCGATGTGCAGCTCATCGCCAGATAAGCAACTTAAATGAGATAGCCATCGATACATTATACGGCTAATCATGACGTATGCAAAATGCCAGGGGTACGCAGTTCTAGATTTATTTTTTTTTTTTTTTTTTTTTTTTTTTTTTGCTGAGAGCACCACCATATGGAGATTGGGGCGATAAGGGCTGCCAAAAAGCATTCAATATTCATTATCAGCCGAGATAACAGTTGGCAATACTCACTTCGCCAGCCAAAACGTTCGAGGGCCCCATTGAGCAGAGCTCAGACGTTTGCGAGACTCCGAACCGAACAGAACTACAGAGAACTTCGATTAAAAACGGCTGTGGCAACAGAACCGAAATCTTTGGGCAAATATTTGCCAATTAAGTACCGTCGACGGCGCGTGTGTCTGTGAAGTGGGGTGAAGTGAAATAATTGGCCAAGCCGAAAAAAACCAGTCATGTCCGAATTTGTGCGGCAACATGTAAGTGGGATACGTATACTATACGTATGTATGTATATGAGGTGACTTCCTGGTTGTCGTGGCAGTTTTTCCCATCCAGTTGCTCTGGTTATCAGAAAATTGCTATGATAACCGAACCGAAACGTTTTATCACATTCCTTTCACACTTTGCTCTGCTTTATATCATGGGCGCATTTCAATTTTAAAATTTCAAACTTCCCCTCTTATCACCGACGCTTGCCTACACGTGTGTTAATTGGAATGTAGTAATACCCGTGATTATGGGCATAAAGTATTTACGAACAGGTAGCCTAACATTAGATTGTGTCCCGTCACGAGCTAAAAAATGTCTCAAGTTTGATTTGCAGGAAAAAGCCAAAAATAATCCTCCATAAATTCCGGATACTTCCTCTAAAAGCAAATGGCTTATCAAATTCTTGGCCAATAATCGATTGGCACTGGAAAAGAGATACGAAAAAGCTCAACAAATGGCTTTGGCATATTGTAAATCCAAAGCTGTCTATAATGGAATGTATTGTCCTCGTTTAAATTCGTCTTATCAGTCTGTTTTTGTTTGTATTTTCGAATTCTCCCAAGAATTAGTATTGCACAGCCATTAGCCCACTAATTGTTCAAATATTTTAGATTAGTGAATATCATGAGTCATAGTTAATGGTGGTGATCTCACAGTCTAACATTTCGATTAGTAAAAATTTCTGATTGCCGTTCAGTATTTATGGCGAAAGGAAAGTTTTAAAATATAAGTGGACAGCATTTTTAGCCAGGTGTTCATGTCATTTTTTATGAATAGATGATAGGTGACATCAGCTGCACAGACAAAAATTGGTCTTTAATCTAATCTAACAAGAGATAAGCAAGGTCGTTGTGGATAGATACCCAAAAATATCATTCTGGAGTCTATTGATTTGAATCGTCTAAAGGTTCGCACTGCATAGTGACCTTTTCCTTTTTTCGGCTATTATAACCTCTTCGGCTGCCGTGTCATGTAGTGTTACTCTGTTACCAGTGCTTCGATTTTTGAATACCGATAAGAACTTTTTTGTATATCGGCTTTCCGGCGATAAGATAACGCCTGGCAACAACTACAATTATTTGCAAAAGCGGCTACCGTTTCATTACCTATACTTAAGCCTCTTATTTCGAAAAAAAAGATATATATATATAAAGTAGACAAAGAAAACTATATGCTTACCATAAAATAATATACTTTTTACTTCGATTTTCGTTTGGGTGTGGCAAAGCTATAAAAGCTTAAAGATATCATTGGATATTTAGGGGTTCCCATAGGTAAATTATTTTACAACGATATGGACTCATTGCTGATTTCTTATCGAGTTTCTAAAATCGATTATTTTATGGGGCTGTAGATGGAGTCAAAAGAAATGGAATAAACTTTGTTTCTTTCAAATTCTCTAGCTTTAAAAATTACTTAAAAAATTAAAGTTCGTTGATCTTTACGAATATGACCAGATAAGACCTTAATATTGGTTCAGTTTATGAACTGCACTACAAAATTTATAAACTTATCGCGTAAAATATTGCCTGCACGCCTGTGATAGCAGCTGTTATCAGTTGTAAATTTTTAGATATGAGCCACTACCAGTTGCTAACGAAATAGTTTTGAAGAGAACATGTTTGGGTTGGCGTAGGTTAGATTCTAGAGATAATCCCATTGACGCCCCGATTCTAATCTCTGTTTTATTTTCGTTTCTATCAAACACAGGGCGAGTATGTGTGGGTGAAGCCGCAGAATACTACCAGTGAATTCGCCGTACCTTTTGGGGCTCGGATAGTGAGAACGGAAAAAACGCAGACCTTGGTTTGCGACGACCGGAACAAACAGTTCTGGGTGCCAGCGGGGGATGTCCTGAAGGCCATGCATATTACATCGCAGGAGGATGTGGAGGACATGATCACATTGGGGGACTTACAGGAGTATACTATTCTAAGGAATCTGCAGAATCGCTATGCCAAGCAGTTAATTTATGTGAGTTATTTCATTTGAACTTGGTTGGTGACATTTCGTAATAAAGCATTTCTAATTTTAGACCTACACCGGTTCTATGCTGGTAGCCATCAATCCCTACCAGATTCTGCCCATCTACACGAATCGCGAGATTCAGCTGTACAGGAAAAAGACCCTAGCTGAACTGCCTCCTCACATTTTTGCCATTAGTGACAATGCCTTTCAAAGACTGCAAAGACTCAAAGAGAATCAGTGTGTGGTGATCAGTGGAGAATCGGGTGCTGGGAAAACTGAGAGCACCAAGTTGATACTGCAATACCTGGCCGCAATTAGCGGCAAACACTCGTGGATCGAGCAGCAAATTATTGAGGCAAACCCCATTATGGAGGCCTTCGGCAATGCCAAAACTGTGCGCAATGACAACTCTTCGCGGTTCGGAAAGTATATCGAGATCAGATTCACACCGGAGGGTGCCATTCAGGGAGCCAGAATACAGCAGTATCTTTTGGAGAAGTCCCGCATTGTTTTCCAGAGCCGTGAGGAACGCAATTATCACATTTTCTATTGCATGCTGGCTGGACTTTCAGCACCAGAAAGAGAGCGTCTGAAGTTGCAGGAGCAATCGCCCAGTCAGTATCATTATTTGGCCCAAGGAGGATGCTTCACATTGCCCGGCAAGGGAGATGCCAAGGACTTTGCCGACATACGGGCGGCCATGAAGGTGCTTTCATTTAAGCCCGAGGAAGTGTGGAGTATACTCAGTCTACTGGCGGCTATTTTGCATCTGGGTAACCTGAGATTCACGGCCACGGAGGTGGCCAACTTGGAAGCTGCCGAGATAGACGACACACCGAATCTGCAGAGGGTTGCCCAATTACTGGGATTACCCGTGCCCCCTCTAAATGCGGCACTCACCCAAAGGACGATCTTTGTGCATGGTGAGCATGTGACCACCAGTTTGTCCAAGGAGGCGGCTCTCGAAGGGCGCGATGCCTTTGTGAAGTCGCTCTACGATGGCATATTTGTGCGCATTGTGCGGAGAATCAATGAGACCATAAACAAGCAAATAGATCAGCCCATGAATAGCATTGGGGTTCTGGATATATTCGGCTTCGAGAACTTTGACAATAACAGCTTTGAGCAACTGTGCATCAACTATGCCAATGAGAATCTACAGCAGTTTTTCGTGGGACATATCTTCAAGGTAGGCAAACAAAATAAATGATTTTTTTTTCGACAATTACTCACCATTTTTATGCCACAGATGGAGCAGGATGAGTACCAAAACGAGCACATCAACTGGCAGCACATTGAGTTCCAGGATAATCAGCAAATTCTGGATCTGATTGGCATGAAACCCATGAACTTGATGTCTCTCATTGATGAGGAGTCCAAGTTTCCCAAGGGCACTGATCAAACTCTCCTCGAAAAGCTACATGTCCAGCATGGCAATCGATCCATTTATGTGAAAGGAAAAACCACACAAACGTCTCTTTTCGGCATTCGTCATTATGCCGGCGTGGTTATGTACAATCCATTGGGCTTCCTGGAAAAGAATCGAGATTCTTTCAGCAGTGATCTGAGGACACTGGTTCAGCGATCTGCTAACAAGTATTTGGTGGATATATTTCCTCATGAGATGCCCATGGATACGGCCAAGAAACAGCCCACTTTGTGTGTGAAGTTTAGGAACTCTTTGGACATGCTGATGCGCACATTGTCGCAGGCTCATCCCTACTTTATACGATGCATTAAGCCAAATGAATTTAAGGAGCCAAAGGTGAGAACAACCAATTAATTAAGAAACAATTCTTTAAATAAGTCCAAATAGAGGAATGTTTAAGCTGAAAAACTTAAGTCGATCCAATTAAAAAAAAAACAGACTATGAGAAATAGTGCTTTGAATTTTAGGCACGTATCCAGCTCGTATTGCATCGCAGCCTAAACAAATCTTTGAATCGCTTAAAATCCAAAGTGTTATAAACATAAAATGATAATATTTAATACAATTCATACTGAAACTAAAACCCTCTTCAAGTATATATTTTTCAACTGTTATTTACATTTATTTACCCTGATTTTCTTTCAACCCTCAGAACTTTGACAAGGAGCTGTGTGTGCGACAGTTGCGCTACTCGGGAATGATGGAGACCGCTCGCATTCGAAGGGCGGGCTACCCGATTCGCCACGCCTACCGGGCCTTCGTGGAGAGATACCGCCTCCTGGTGCCACCTGTAGGCCCCCTGGAAAAATGCGACTGCCGAGCGGTGGCGCGGCAGATCTGTGAAGTTGCTCTACCCGCCGATTCCGATCGTCAGTATGGAAAAACCAAGCTTTTCCTGAGGGACGACGATGATGGCAGTCTAGAACTGCAGCGATCACAGCTGATGCTTAAGAGCATTGTGACCATACAGCGAGGTATCAGAAGGGTTCTATTCCGACGCTATCTGAAGAGGTATCGCGAGGCTGTTATCACTGTGCAGCGATATTGGCGGGGTCGCCTGCAGCGTCGTAAGTACCAGATAATGCGGCAGGGATTCCATCGCCTGGGAGCCTGTATAGCTGCTCAGCAGTTGACCACCAAGTTCACGATGGTCAGATGTCGAACCATCAAACTCCAGGCTTTGAGTCGGGGCTATCTGGTGCGCAAAGACTTCCAGGAAAAGTTAGTGGAAAAACGAAAGCAGCAGCAGATGAAGAAGGAGGAGCTCCTGAAGTTGGCCAAGCTTAAGGAAGCCGAAGAGCTGCTGAGACTACAGCAACTGAAGGAGCAAAAGCTGAAGGAGCAAAAGGATCTGGAAGACAAGCGATTGAAGGAGGAGCAGAGACTTCAGGCCGAGGCTGCTGCCCGTAATGCCTTGGCCATGGCTGCAGTTCAGCAGCCCAGGAGGGAAAAGTCCTTCAAGCAACAGGCGCCGCTGCCTCCAACCCAACAGGCCCGAATGTCCCTGCCACCACCACCCACCACGATAATCGCAGTCGCCCCAATGGCCACACGACCCGCCAGTGCCACCAGTAGGATAAATGCCGTACCCGAGAGTCCTGGTGGTGCGATCGATGTGGAGTCCTCCAAACAGATGGTAGACGATGTGTTCCGCTTCCTCAACGACGAACCCGATGTGAGTGGTCCTCTGGGGCCGAATGTCAAAGAGAAGTCTCTGATGTTCGAGCAGGCACTGCGCCTGCGCAAAGATGTACCCACCAAGCTCCTGTCCCGCCCGGTCAACTATTATGAGGCGGCGCCTCGGAAGATTGTCAACCAGACCCGCCTCTAGTAGCGGATCAGGCTGGGACTTGGGAACAGCCCCGAACAAACTAGACACATGTAGCTTTGGCTGATATTTGGGGATAGCTGGTGCTGGAGAATAAACACACTAGATAATGGTTAGTTCTGATCAGTGGGATTTGTTCCTTTAGGATTAGAAAAATAGCCGAAAAAAGTCTTTAAAAAAGTCTAAGCTGTTCTGTAGCTGAAATATGTTCTACTATACTGTAAATAAATATTTTTTTTATTTTATACTAACTTAATAACATTTTTCATATATTTTATATTTATACTGAGATTATTTATTAAGGGAAGAAGGTTAGATCAAAATTCTTTTAAGAACGTTAAAAGATTACAATAAACTATGCGGTTTTATGGAATCATAGAGAAGAAGTAATTGAAAAGTAATAGAAATTGCTGACAATAATTTTTGGACTTTAAATTCGGTTAATTTTATTTCCAAACAAATGGAACTACCCTACTGATCAGTATTACATCACGAGATTATTTTCCAGTCCAACGACTCATTTTAGCTTTGGCTCCAAATTGGAACAATCCGATTTGATTTTGGGACATCCATTTGGCTCTTTTTATTGTACAAATCTTACACATAAGTGCAGTAAATGTCAGCTTGTATAGACAAACATATTATCTTGGCTTGTGATTGCTTTTTGTTAAATATTCCTTACTTTTACTTGTATCATATTTATTAAACTCTGTAAATAAAACCCTTTAAGGCATCTATAGACATAAATGCGCAAATTGTTCGTGTGTTTAATCGTCTGCGTTGGTTGTGGTTGTATGGTTTTGGGGTCGTGTGGAATTCCCCGATCCAGCTTTTGTGCTTTGTGTCCAAGTCCAGTGAGCGTCCCACATCACATCTGCACTTTGGGATTGCATTCACCATTATACTTCAAACAGACCAAATCTGATTGAGTCATTGGCTTTGTCTTCTAAAAATTTAACCATGGACATGAGTAATCCAAGTGGCTTACAAGGGCGTTTCAGTGTTATCTTGTAGAAAATTAATTTATTTCATTCAATAGATACGGCATACATGCGATTAGTTTTTTTCACTATAACTGTCTTTCTCATTAAAGTATTTTTATTAAAAAGTCTGAATGCTTGCAAGGTTTTTAAATAATTCAAGCGGTAATTAAATTTTACAAAACCACATACTTTGAAAGCTATAAAATTTGTATGTCGAAAAAGTTTTAAAAAGTAAAACAATTTACACAATTGTATTGTTTTACTTTAGAAAATGTTTTGACTTCTGTTTTGCACTTAAATCGTTGCATTTTATTTATGATAACTTATTTATTACTTGGGAGTACAATATATATTACCATTTTTTCAAGTAGAATACTTCTCACTAGCTTTAAAGATTTTACGGTCTTCGTCCTTTCAAGAGCACCACTTGGTTTCTTTATTTTTATATTGAGCAGTTTTATAGGACCATTAAACGAGATTATCAGGAAGCTTATTTATGAGCCAATTTCCTTACCTTTCTTCGCCAAATGTTTCTAAAAATTCTTGGGTCTAAGGTCAAAACGCTAAAGATTCCTCAGAAAAATTAAATATCTATAATACTTTACCTAGTAGAATATTCATAGTCCTAAAACGAATCGTGAATAAACACTTAAATAAAACAAACCACTGCGCACCACCAAAACAATTAAATTTTATTAATCAAAATTTGAAGAATTACCCACTTTCAATGGTCAAACCATTTCCTAGAACGCAGATCCATGCCGTATCGTCTTTAGTCAGCAACTAAATTGCGGCAAAATAAATTCCGGAGGTGAGACCCCCGTTTTTTGTGTCCGAAGCGTGGGCAATACCAATCGTTATCAGGTGGCGGCAGAAGTTTAAAACAAATACCAAATGATAAATGAAATAAAACGGGATCGTAAATAATCGTCGCCGCCTTATCGCGAGGGCATATCTTCGGGTGCAGCATACCCCTACCAGTATATATTTATGAAAGCTTACGAGTAAAGCACCTCTTGATAAGTGGCACTCAGATTACAGTTGTCAAAATAATTAATGCGGCTGAATTATAAACTGAGTGTATGGGTAAACAGTATAAGAGAGTGAAACTAGAAAAGTGAAAATAATTTGTATGAGTGTTTCAACCTATGTTTACCCTGTAATTAAACCCTTGAACTTAATTATTTTTTCAGGCTGCATTGAGGAAACTCAATAATATTGCTTCTGGCGATACTATACGCCTACCGAAGCCAGTGACCAATAATATCGACACCACCGACTTTAGTTATTTGAAATATGCCTCAACCTACTTTTGTGGAGGCGCCACAGCGCAGCACGAACGAAAACCTCTTAAGCAATCTTTATTGAAACATGAGCTTGCTGTAGATGAAATGGCTTCTAAGGTGAGTTTTATATTGTATAAGTTAAATAAACACAAAAACTTGTATTAACTTCTAGGCCATTTGGTTGACCATTCTCCGATTCATGGGTGACTCGCCGGAGATTGTTCGCTCGCCTACTTTTACCCCATACGATAATGAAAACTTGATGAGTAAATTGTCCAGTTTCTTAAACACTTCTGGTTCTTATAAGCCACGTTTGTTTGTGCGTCAAGCCCAAAGGCGACCACAACAACTTGTGGGAAGAGGTCTTAAAGAAGCCGAAGAATTCTATCAACACTGGCTTAACGTTTCCAGTAGTCATTTAGATAAATTGCATTTCATCATAGGGCATGGAATACTCAAGGAGAATTTAAGGTACGTTGCTGTAAAACTTAAAACTTGAATCAAACTTATCAATATTACATTGCAGAGATGAAATCCTGGCCCAGATCTGCAAACAGCTATATCTTAACCCCAGTCGCAGCTCCTATTCCCGCGGATGGTTGCTCCTTTCGCTTTGCTTGAGCTGCTTTGCACCGAGCACCGACTTTGAGCCCCATTTGCGAAGTTTCATGAAGCAGGGAACCGCCCAATTGCAGGCTACTCCCTGCCTCCAGCGATTGGAGAGAACTCTGGTCAATGGGTCCCGCTGTCAGCCACCGTCGCTTTTCGAACTTCAGGCGATCCGGGAACGTCAGCCCCTCAAGTTGGACATTCAGCTGATGGACGGACAGCAGAGGAGGTTGCAGGTGGATGCGGCAAGTACATCCCGAGAGGCTGTACAACAACTTTGCCAGGGCTTGGGTCTAACCGATACCTTTGGCTTTGGCTTGGTAATGTCACTAAACGGCAAGTTAATGCCACTGGGAGCTGGTCAGGAGCATGTTCTGGATGCCATTTCGGAGTGTGAGCAACGTCGGCTGGATGCCCCTTGGAAACTGTACCTCCGCAAGGAGATATTTCCCACTTGGTATGATCCATCGATGGATCCTAAGGCCACTCACCTGATATACAAGCAAATCCTGAACGGATTAAAGTGTGGAGAGTATCGTTGTCGTTCCGAGAAGGACATTGCTATGGTGTGTGCCCTGGCCTGTTTTATTGAGCATGGACCGGGTGAGATCGTTCGATTGAAACCCTCTGAGATTACTGCGTTTGTGCCCAGGGATCTCCTGGCTCCAGGCGATCGAGCCATCGAAAACTGGAGTCGCCTAATAGCCGCTACATACGAAAAGAGCTCATATGTTAAGGAAGAAAGCAATGATTTACAATTAGAGGCTCAGAAGAGAGCCAAAGAGGATATATGTCTTTTTGCACATCTATCTTGGCCCATGAGACACTCCCGTCTGTTCGAAGTGGTACGCAAAGAGGGACCAAAACTCCAGAGCGATGAACTGATGCTGGGCATCAATTCCACTGGCCTTTTCCTTATCGACGAAACCGAACAGGTGCTGGCCTCCTGTAGTTTCGGCGAGCTACTGAAAGTTAATTTAGAAGCCAATGACGAATTACATATTATGACCTTCGAACATTGCAATTTTGTGCTGCAGTGCAGCACAGCTCAAGATGCCAAGGAGGTGATAAACTATATGCTGGACAATCTCCGCCAGCGTTCAAGCTATGGAGTTGCCCTTGACCAGGTCGTGGAGGGAGATCAAGATGATTTCCTAGTCCTATCCATCGGTGACCTCATCGAATTCGAGGCGGGTGTAACAGGTGCCCAACTTTTATCTGGCAATGCCCAAGACACTTACAGAGGCTGTGTTAATGGCCATTGGGGTCTCTTTGCTGCTGGGAATGTTCGCATTTTGGCCACCCTCACCAAACCCAGTGATAAGCTACTAGATATCTTTAGGGAGGGCAGATTCAAGGAACCCCCGAAACCAACTCCTCGGGCAAATCATTCTCGTCGTCGTCAACATTACATCTCTCAGCTGGCTGAGACACAATTTAGGGAGCCATTAGAGTAAGTGGATGTACTTAAGGAGGTTTAAATATTTGTATAATACTCTATTTCTATTTTAGCTCAGATAAGGCTTCCCTCTCGCAGTTTTCTCCTGAACCACTAAAAGCACCTCTGCTTAAGACTGTAGTTAAGGTGCCACCTCTTTTCCAACAAGCTCTGGTTATTCATCATCACATTCTTAAGGTAAGAAACTGCATATTATTATATTATACCATATCTTTCAATAAAATATCCCCATTTAGTACATGGGCGAAATAGCAAGGAGCAATCTGCCGGTAAACACGGACCTCATCTTCCAGCCAGCACTACAGCATCCTCTTCTGTGTGACGAACTCTATTGCCAGTTGATGAAGCAGCTGACCGACAATCCATCCAGCGAAAGCGAGAAGCGGGGCTGGGACCTGCTATACTTGGCTACGGGTTTGGTGGCTCCCAGTATCCTGATTATGAGGGAACTCATCATCCTGTTGCGCATGCGTGCCGATGCTCTAGCAGATGCCTGCCTCAAACGATTGAAGCGATCTTTGGCCCAGGGACAGCGAAAACAAGCACCACATTTGATTGAGGTTGAGGGCATTCAGCAGCGCTGCCTGCACATCTACCACAAGATATATTTCCCCGATGACACAGTTGAAGCTTTCGAGATTGAGTCACACACCCGGGGAGCCGAACTTATTGCGGATATAGTCCAGAGATTGGAACTCAAGTCGGCCGTGGGCTATAGTATTTTTTTGAAGACCGGCGATAGGGTGTATGCCATGCCGGAGGAGGACTTCGTGTTTGATTTCATAACTCAACTTATCTACTGGCTAAAACAGCAGAAGACCCTGCGCTCCATATCCGATGGCCACTACCAGCTGCACTTTATGAGGAAGTTGTGGTTGAACAACCTTCCAGGAGATGACCCAAATGGAGATTTGATCTTTAGCTATCCCCAAGAGCTGCACAAGTACTTGAAGGGCTATTATCCCATCGATTGCGAGCAGGCCTCGCATCTGGCAGGTCTTGTGTACAGTGCGGATCGTGAGGTTAGCTTGCAGCGACTACCGGAAGTGCTGCCACGTTTAATACCAGAAGATCTAATACCTCTTCAAACCGTGGCTGAATGGAGGCAACAAATCCTGCCAAAACTCCATCGCGATCACTTGGCGGAGGATCATGCCAAGTTTTTGTTCCTCCAAGAACTCTGCCATTTCTCTTGCTTCGGCTCCACTTTCTTCGTGGTGAAACAACAGAACGAGGATGCCCTCCCCGAAACACTCTTAGTGGCAATCAACAGCTCTGGATTTCATCTGTTGGATCCACAAACCAAAGAGATCCTTCGCAGCTACGAGTACTCCCAGTTGGGTATCTGGAGTTCGGGCAAGAACCACTTCCACATCCGATTCGGTAACATGATCGGTGCCTCGAAACTGCTGTGCAGCACGACCCAAGGATACAAGATGGACGATTTGCTGGCCTCTTACGTGAGGTATTTTAATGAAAACGAGTAAACGGCTGACTCGACTCAAATAAATTGTGCCCTTACAAGTAACCCAGCTCCTTGGTCTTTTCAATCAAAGCCAGCATTCCAACCATCAGCTCCTCGCAGTTGGGAATGATCTGCACGGGTGGCAGGATAAAGCCATAACGGCCCTTGTCACGGTATTCGATTGTGTAACCAATCTTCTTGTCCAGTTCGTTGAACACCCAGTCCACAGAGGTTCCAGTGGCCACATCTGCACAAAGGAATAATATTTCAGTGACCAAACTCTTTCGCTTAAGTAGCAATACTCACAAAGCACATCAGCAGTAGACCCATATTGGTAGACAGTGCCGTATGGCAGTCCTTCGATGGCATCGGCAAAGGCCTTGCCAATAGTCAGGATATGGTCATAGTTCTCTGGGAACTCCTCTTTCGTGTGTCCGTAGGGAGAGAGCAGATACTGTCCATAGGAGTGGAAGGATATGTACACACTGAACTGGTCCTTGATCTTGGTCAAATACTCGACCAAGGCCTTGGCTTCTGGCTCCGATCCAGGCGTATCTCCGGCAAAGGTCTCGCTGCAGGGATTATTCGATGCTCCATTGTTCTCCAGCCAGTGAGAGTCGAAGTTTCGATTGGCATCAGCTCCGATGCAGGCATTGGTGGCATGTGGTTGACGCGTCTTGCGCCACATACGATCCTTAAATTTAAGAAATTATATGTATTTAAACGAAATATTTACTCAGTCTTAGTTTGTACATACCTTTTTGTGTGAGTGTTCAAAACCATCTACATTGAAAACGGGCACAATGTGCCAGTCGTAGCTCTCGGCCAAGTTCCGCACATCGGCTTCCTTTGAGGTCAAAAGCTGATTGATGAACCACGTGGCACTGGCCGAGGTGATCCACTCTCGAGCATGGATGTTGGACTCGATGAAAATGCCCGGATTGCCAGTCTTGTACGAAATCTTGATGCCCCGAATAGTGCGACCCTCGTATGACTTGCCCACAATGAACTCCTCGGTCACCGTGGGATATGTAGCTAGTACTTCATCCAACCAGGCCTCAATCTCCTCCAGCTCGTAGTACTTCGTCCAGCCAAAGGTGGCACTATCTGCAGTGGCCGTGACTTGCTCCTCGTCGATACGTCTAAATGGGGATCCGATCGTTATCAATATGGCCCCAAATGAGCACGCACTAATGGTTAGCTAATCGAGCGATCTTATCGTCTCGAGTGGCTTTAACCCATTACTTACTCTTGGACATTTTCGATCATTAGCTCACTGCTAATGTTATTGAACATGAGAAGATTCTGGAAGCGGCTAAGCTCCTCCGGACTAACCATGATGTCCAACTGCTTGGTATGCTCGTCAAACTCCTTCCAGATATTGTACTAAGCACCAAAACGTAAATTTACCTTAAATTTTTTGACTTCAGATACTGGAAAACGTACCTTCTTTGTCAGCTCAGCAAGTTTTTCAATCACAGACAACTGGAACTGATTCTGGATGGTAAGCTTATACACCCTGAAATTGTCATAGCGCTCCTTGGGAGCATCCTTAAGGATCCCAGCACTCGTTAGAGCCACCAGCGTGGCAAGCAACCAAAGCAGACGCATTTTGAACAACTACTGAATTCGTGTTGCTTAGCTTAACTTTAAAGAAACTCAACCCCATTGATTATCTGCAGCTAATCTTTATTATTTTATTGCAATTGAATTTCCCAGCACTTACTGTGCGCTCTTGAGCTTAAGATAACCCAACTCTTTACACTTATCTAAAAGGGCCACAATGCCTATCAGTGCCTCCTCTGCGTTCGGAATAATGTGAACCGGGGGAAGGATAAATCCATATCGACCAGTGTCCCTAAACTCAATGGTATAGGTAATCTCCACCTCCTGTTCATTATACGCCCATTCAATGGTGGCTCCAGAAGCGGGATCTTTAAAATTATTTAATTATATATTTTTAGACTTTAGCGATAGTTGATAAACTTACATAGAATATCCGCAGATGTGCCGTATCTGTAGACCGTTCCATAAGGAAGACTCTCAACCGCAGCACTATAGGCTTTAGCAACGGCCATCAAGTCATCGTAGTTGGGTGGAAACTCTTCGTTGGTATGACCATAAGGAGAAAGCAGAAGCTGACTGTACGAGTGGAAGGCCAGCAAAACATTGATTTTGTCCCTGTTGCTGCTCACAAAATCAGCCATAGCCTGAATTTCCGGTTCAGAGAAGGGTTTTGGTCCACCGTAATCCTCAGCGCAGGGATCCGAAGAAGCTCCATCGTTCTCCATCCAATGCGAATCGTAATTGCGATTGGGATCTACGCCAATGCAACTGGAAATATTGGATGGTTGACGGGTCTTGCGCCACATACGGTCCTGCAAAATGAATTTCTTATGCAAGAAACTTAAAGGCATGGATATGAGGATTTTACCTTCTCATGAGTATAAACAAAACCATCAACATTAAGGACGGGCACAATATACCAGTCGTGACTTTCGGCGAGGTTCCTCACCAGTTCATCCGTGGAGGTGAGGAACTCATTAATTAACCAAGTGGCCGTGGCGGAAGTGATCCACTCCCTAGCATGTATATTGGACTCGATAAATACTCCAGGGTTATTCGATTTGTAGGAGATCTTGATGCCTCGAATAGTGCGTCCCTCGTACGATTGACCCAAGACAAAACTCTCTGTAACCGCAGGATAATTGGCTAGTATTTCATCTAGCCATGCATAAATTTCCGCCAGCATATTGTATTTCTTCCATCCAAAGGATCCATCTCTGCTAGCTCTAAGATTGGCATCTTCTTCCGAATCAATAAGCCTGAAGAGGATTGATTAGATTTCACATTGTAAACCAATGTTTGGACTCTACTCACTCCTGTACGTTACTTATGAACAGCTTGGCACTGACGTTGGTCATCTGGATCTCAGAGTTAAATTCGCTTAAAGCTCCTGGGCTTATCATCAAGTGCAACTCATCATTGGCTTCATGCCAAATTCGGAACTAAATGAAAAGCTTAGCACTTTTATTGTGGATGTCCCACATAAATCGAACTTACATTATCCCGATCCTCTACAAATTTTCCCAGGAGACTTCTCTGTTCCTGAGTTTCAAACTGGACCTTATACACCGAGTAGTTGTCGTAGCGCAGCCTTTCGTCCTGGCCCAAACTGGCTCCTTGAGCCAAGGCAACTACAGTCAGAGCTGCGAGAAAACTATTCAGCGCCATGCTTAGCGCTAAGAATGCGGTAAGAGACTACTTAATTTGCACAAATAAAAGCCAGACGATTGCCATATCAACCAGGTCATAATTTGGTTGTAAAGATAGTCGCACAGAAGCTTACTATGGAACGATCGATATAACCGATTGAATCGCCTTATCAATGGTAAAAACCTAAGCGGCGATCACATCGTTTTTTCGTATTTCTTGAATCTAAACACGTGCTGAGTCATTTTGGACTCTGTATAACTTATTTTGATGTGAATGCTTAATTTTGACTAGGAGTTAAAATAAGCTACCTAATACAATATCTTTTTTCATATACCTATCCGAAGAAAGTCACTTCCTTTTATATATCTTTATTGTTTTAATGCATTGAATTACTCAGCATTTACTGTGTGTTTTTGGGCTTAAGATAGCCCAACTCTTCACACTTATCTAAAAGGGCCGTAATGCCGATCAAAGCCTCTTCTGCGTTTGGGATAATTTGGACCGGGGGAAGAATAAATCCATATCGACCAGTGTCCCTAAATTCAATAGTATAAGCTATCTCCACACCTTGTTCATAGGCCCAATCGTTGGTGGCTCCAGTAGCGAAATCTTTAAAAGTATTATCCATTTAAATAATAAAATTTATAGATATTTTATCAACTTACAAAGAATTTCCGCTACTGAGCCGTATCTGTAGACAGTACCATAAGGCAGTCTTTCAACTGCATCACCATAAGCTTTAGCAACGGCCATCAAGTCATCGTAGTTGGGTGGAAACTCTTCGTTGGTATGTCCATAGGGAGAAAGCAGAAGCTGACTGTACGAGTGGAAGGCCAGCAAAACATTGATTTTGTCCTTGATGCTGCCCACAAAATCAGCCATGGCTTGAATTTCCGGCTCTGAAAAGGGATGAGGTCCTCCGTAGAATTCAGAGCAGGGATCCGAAGAAGCTCCTTCGTTTTCCATCCAACGCGAGTCGTAATTGCGATTGGGATCTACGCCAATGCAACTGGAAATATTGGATGGTTGACGGGTCTTGCGCCACATTCGGTTCTAAAATATAATTTCATAAGAACTAAGAGAAAACAGGACAGCAAGTGGCATTACCTTCTCATGAGCATAAACAAAACCGTCAACATTTAGCACAGGCACAATGTACCAGTCGTGACTTTCGGCGAGGTTCCTCACCAGTTCATCCGTGGAGGTGAGGAACTCATTAATTAACCAAGTGGCCGTGGCGGAAGTGATCCACTCGTTAGCATGTATGTTGGACTCAATAAATACGCCTGGGTTGTTGGATTTGTACGAGATCTTGATGCCTCGAATAGTGCGTCCCTCGTACGATTGACCCAAGGCAAAACTCTCTGTAACCGCGGGATAATTAGCTAGTATTTCATCTAGCCATGCATAAATTTCGTCCAGCGTATTGTATTTCTTCCATCCAAAGGATCCATCTCTGCTAGCTCTAAGATTGGCATCTTCCTCGGAATCAATAAGCCTGAAAAAGATGGGTAATATTTTACTTACTTTGTATACCTATATTTTGACTCTTCTCACTCCTGCACGTTGCTTATAAACATCTTGGCACTGATGTTGGTCCTGTGAATCTCAGAGTTGAAGTCGCTTAGAGCACCTGGAGTTATCATCAAATGCAACTCATCATTGGCTTCATACCATATTCTGAACTAAACGAAAACCTTAACACCTTTATATTTAGAAGTTACATAAAATTATCTTACGTTTTCCCGGCCTTCCGCCAGTTTTCTCAGGAGATTTCTTTGTTCTTGAGTTTCAAACCTGACCTTATACACAGAGTAGTTGTCATATCGCACCCTTTCGTCCTGACCCAAACTCGCTCCTTGGGCCAAGGCAACTATTGTCAGAGCAACAAGAAAACTATTTAGTGACATGCTTAGTGCTAAGAATGCGGTATGCAACTACTTAATTTGCAGAACTAAAAGTCTGAAGAGAGCTATATCGATCAGGTCATAATTAGATTGTAAAGATAGTCGAACACATAGTAGCCTTATCTATGAGAAAACTGACCGACGATCACATCGTTCACATATCTGACACGTGTTTAAAATTTCGGAAAGTCTATTTAGACTTTCAATAACTATTGTGCGAAGTTTTTTTGGCGACATGCTTATGTACTACAATTTAATTTTATATATTAATGCAATAATCCATTCAGTGCCTAGTTAGAAATAATTTTACAAGATTAACTTGACCTACTAATTAACATAATTTAAGAATATGAATGGTATAGGCATGCTAATCTGATAATCCTAAATTCCGAATAAGCGTGATTCTACTTCTGCTTAATGAGGTCATATTCCGGGAATAAAAAAATTTCCAATGAATATAAACTATGAATGCTACAGTTAATTCAGTTTAATTGTTTGTTTAATATTTCAATTTCCAGGTATTCTGTTGTCTCATTCTTATTTTAATATTTTCAATTATAAAAGCCCAGATGGCTCAGTCTACTCAAAACTGGGGTATACAATTCCTTTTTATAGTTCATTTAGTTCAGTCGAAATGCGTCCATTGATTGCATTGTTGCTGTTGATAGCAGCTCGGGGTTACACCTTATCAGTTCCAACACCTCGTTCCTATGAAAACTATTCCGTGTATAGGGTTAGTGTTAAAACTAGTTCGCAACAACATATTATCGATCAACTCCTGGAGCAATACGACAATGTAAGTTGTACTATTTTTAAATATTTTTAGGCAGTAGCCAAACAGTAATTTAATTGTTCTAGTATAACTTATGGCACCGATCGGTAAACGAAGTCGATATTATGGTGAGTCCTAGTGCTCGGGACCCATTTCTAGCCATAATGCGAAAGGAAAATATTGATGTCAAATTAATGATTAAAAATGTTCAAACGTAAGTAATTATGATTAAATTTTGCATGCAAAACAAAAAGTCGTAAACGTCATACTATCTTTTTAGACTTATAGACGAGGAGAGAAAAGGGATGACCACATTCAGTGGATGAAAACCTATGTTGATATGGACGAACTTAGGGAAAAGTTTCTCTCTGGTGATGCTGATCAAGATATAAAAATCACTTTAAAAATACTATCAATTAATATAAGAATACAATAATTTATGTAACTTAATAATATTACTTGGAAATTGTTCTTACGGATTGTTTTCAATTCTATATTCAGTTTGAGGCAAAAAACAATCTAACTATTGGTTCAATAAAATTTATTAGTTTTATATTCTGTCATCTGGACATTGTAGAATTTGAGACTTAGGCCTTCTTGCACCCCTCCCCGCAATCGGTGCCCTCGCAAATGTCGCAGAGGGAGGACTGCACCTGGTAGTACTCGGTGGCCTTGCGATCCGTGTCGTAGTAGTCGTAGAGGGACACGGAGGCGGGCTTCTGCTTGGCCACCGCATGAGCCTTGGAGGCCTCCACCGGAAGGCAGCGTACATCGCCGGGGGTCAAGCTGTCGAAGTAGACGATGACCGTGGAGTCCGAGTTCTTGGTCTCCACGCGCTTCACCCGATCCACGGCCTCGATTTTGGCCAAGCTATCGGAGTCTCCCACGAACCCGGAGGGCAGGGCGATCTCCATCACAGCCATGTTGGAGTCCTTGTCCTTGTCGGCGTCTTCCAGGGGCACGTACTCAGCGCAGATGTCCACCACCAGCAGCTGGTTGGGCGAGTCCTTGACCGTGGGAGTGACCTTGAAGCTGGGCTTCTTCTCCTTCTCAGCCAGGTTGTAGCGGTAGGAGAGCTGGACCATTGCGGATCCAGTGCCCTTGGCTGTGAAGTCCACCTTGCGAGTGTCCTTGGGCAGGACGTGGGTCTGTAGAACCAGCGAATTCAGGGGGTTCAACTTGATCGTGTCCTTGGCTCCTCCCGCAGGAGCAAACTCAATGTCCATGGTGCCTGAGCCGGAGCCCGTCTTGTAGGCGAATTTCGTGAGGGCCTGCAGACCAACAACCGTGTCCTGGGTGGAGGAGAATCCGCCGTTGCTGTTGCGCTGCGAGATCAGCCACTTAATGATGGGCAGGGCCTTCTCGGCCGGATCCTTTTCGAGGAGCGCGAGCAGCAAATATGATGTGATCTCCACGTCGTTGCTGCGGGGCTTCCAGTGGAAGATTCGACCCTCGTCACCAGTGGAATCCGAAGCCTTGGACCACCACTTGCGATCGTTTTCATAACGGGCCATGCCCTCCATCTTGACGAGGACCTTCTCCGCCTGCGGATGTTTGGCCAGTTGTAGGGCCACGGCGGCAATGGCCAGTGAGTACTGGTCGTCCGTCTTGTCCACCTCCTCGGCCACATAGCGAACAGCCTTCTCAATCGCACTCTGGTACTTGGGGATGAGTTCCTAAGGGAAAGCAAAAAGTTATCTCGGGACTATTAGAATAGGTCATCTGACTTACATGATTCTCGAAGAAGGCCAGTAGGACAAACGAAGTCAGCCCCAGGGCATTATGGTTGGCATTGTCGAAGAGTTTTCCGACCTCGGGGAACTCACCATTCTCCTTCTGCTTCGATACCAGGAAGTCAAGACCAGCGTTCATAACCTTGGGATCAACATCCGTATATGTTGCAGCCTGATGGAAGGAGCGCATCACGTAGGCTGTCAGCCAGGTGCTGCCCGCAGGATCAGACTTTCCAAAGGCACTGTAGGAACCATCGTCGTGTTTGTAGGTCAGTTCCCTCTGATAGCCGATCTCCAAGAACTTCTTGGCCTTGGACTCGACGGCCGGCAGTTTTCGACCAGTGACCTGGAGGTACTTAAGCACCAGGATGTTGGGCACAAAGTTGACCATGTTTTGCTCTCCGCAACCGTAGGGCATGCGTACAAGATTGTCGAGATTCTGGAGCGTGGGTCCGAGGAGATCGCCCACGACGGAGAACTCAATGAACTCGGACTGGGGCACGACTTCGCTTGGGATCTCGGCCTCCAGCGACTGCGACATCTCCGGCTGATCCTTTAGGTTGATGAAGACAGCCCGGTTTTCAAACTGGGTTACTCCCTCCGGCTCCACCTTCAGTTTCTGGTGAATGGTGTCTCCGGCTAAAGGTGAGTTTGCCGTGATTTTCAAGGTAGTGGATCCTACGTTCTTCGGACGGATCATGAATGAAACACTCTTGCCACTGTTGGCCGGAATCGTGACTCTTTTGACACGACGCACTTCATCGATAGCCTTGTCCACCACCTCATTGGTGGCCTCGGTAAACTCGTACTCCTGGTCAGTGTTGTCCATCACTACGTCTGCATCAAGAGTCTTATCCAGGTAGTTAAAGATCACCACAGGGATAGCAATTACTTCGCCTGAAGTGATTAGAGTGGCGTTAGAGAATATATTTTGCAGTACACATACAAAATCACTCACCTCTCTTCACGGAGTATGGCAGATTGGTGGACACAAAGAATGGCTTGAACACTCGAATCTTGCTGGGGTTTTTGGTCAAAGCAATTCCGGAGGTGGGGTTCAGGGAAAAGCCCGTGACGACCCACGAGGTAATGGTGTCCGGAATTTTCTTGGTCAGGGTAAAACCCTCTTCATCAACACTGCATAAGGACATAAAGTTATTTAACTGCTTGATCGCTACCATTTAGAATACACATAAACACATTCGACGAACATAAGCAACCAGTTAGGTAAGTGTGAGTGGGTTAGTTAACAATCAAACATGCATGGGAAAAGTTAAAAAGCATTAGGGAAACTAGTTACTCTGTTGGGAAATCTTTTAGCTCGTATATCCAAGTCTCTAAAAAAGTTGAGCGCACGCCAATTTTGTTTTCAATTTCTTCCGCATCTGAAGCTGGTTGGGTCGTTAGGTCAATAGGTTGCTCTGTAGTTTTGCGAAGTTTGGTAAAACCCCGCCTTTCCGCACTGACCTTCATGATGGGCACAGTACCCAAGCCTTTTCTTCCCACGCCTTAAATTATTCGGAGTAGCACATGGTTGTAGTGAATTATGAATTTATGTTTTTGACAATTATAACATCTTATAGTTAAACAGAAGGGCACGTAAACGAATTAAAAAATGATATAATCTTTTATAAGATCTGAGTTCATGGAAACATGCAGTTTTAGCCCAAAAATGACGCTATATCATTGCATTCAGTGTTAAAATTTACTCGGGGCTATTCGCGAACATCCAAGATTCGGGAAACTCTTTTACGTATTGGCACATTCACGTGGTAATGGTTGTTCGCTTTGGGAACTAAATTTGTAGGCAACGGATTGTTGATTAGAAGACATTGAACTGTAAGCTACATTGTCGCCTCGTAAATGCGAAAGGATAACCAGACAATAGTCGGTAACTCAACGTAGCGCCTGAGAATTCTAAAATAATAATGTAAATTAACCTCTTCAGTTCAATTTAATTAAAGTAAATTTATCTATCCAAATTTCAAGAAAAAGCTAAACTTCAAAAAACATGTTTTTAAAAACCCATCTTGAAATGTAAGCCTTATAGTGGGGGCGTGCATTGCATACCCCGTGCAACAGGCATTACAGGGCATTACAAATTAAGATTTACTCGGCTATAATTGAGAATATCCAAGACTCAGAAAACTCCTTGCGTATCAAGACTTTTTGAGGTCTAGATTTGGTTTTAGCCACACCCCTTAATCGTCCTCGCCTGCCTGTGGTTGGTGCAAACTCTTGATAAACGTTGCGGGGGAAAACACAAATTGTGTTATATTTCAGCAAAATATTTTATAATACTATTAGAATTAATAAAAGTTTGTAAGCTGCTTTAAACTCAGATTCATGGGTCATGATGGCATGCACAGTGACGTCACAGAACACGGATTAACATTAAAACCAGCGTTTACTTTTCAAAAATCCACGTTTCTGGAAACTCTTTACGTATCGCTGGTGGTGGATCTGGATTTGAAGAAATTCTTCTTGAATACATGATCTCTGAGCTTGGAAAACTAATTCCGCTCCTATATCTAAAATCAGCAACACCTGGCTGGCCCGCACCAACGCGCATGTTCATTACTGGAGAGCCCATACGATATGTCCATGATTCTGGTAAATAATATGTCCATGATCGCTGAAAAGCTTTATATAAAGTGGGCTTGTTAAGTACTATTAAAATCTGATTAAGCGTTTTACCTAAAAATTCATACTATTAAAAACAAGAAAGAAAGCAAACTTCGGCAAGCCGAAGTTCATATACCCTTGCAGCTATTGCAAGAATTAAACATTTTTGAGAACATTAAAATTATGATTTACTTTCGTATATGTTTAAAAATATTGAAGTTATGATGATTTGCAGCTCAATTATTTGATAGTTATTTTATATATTTTTATTATTTCTATGGGAGCTATATGATATAGATGTCCGATTTCGATAAAGTTTAAACCATAATTCTGAAATATTTAACCATTGCTATATGTCGAAGAACTAAACAAAAAATTAAAAAACAGAAAAGTTATAATTTCTTTTTTAATTATTTTTCCGATTGTTCCTATGGGAGTTATATGATATAGTCGTCCGACTTTGATGAAATTTAAACCGTAAATCGGAAATATTTAACCATTACTAAATGTCGAAGAACTAAAAAAAAAAAAATAAAATATCAGAAAAGTTATAAATTTTTTTCATTTAAATTTCCGATTGTTCCTATGGGAGGTATATGCTATAGTCGTCCGATCCGGCTCGTTCCGACTTATATACTACCTGCAATAGAAAGACAACGTTTGGGAAAGTTTCATGCAGATAGCTTTAAAACTGAGAGACTAGTTTGCATATAAACGGACGGACAGACGGACAGACAGACGGACATGGCTAGATCGACTCGCCTAGTGATGCTGATCAAGAATATATATACTTTATAGGGTCGAAGATGTCTCCTTCACTGCGTTGCAAACTTCTGACTGAAATTATAATACCCCCTGCAAGGGTATAAAAATCTTTTAGTTATCTTTTAAAAAAAATTCTGAATGTTGCGGGGGAAAACACAAATTTTATTATATTTCAGCAAAATATTTTATAATACTATTAGAATTAATAAAAGTTTGTAAGCTGCTTTAAACTCTGATTCATGGGTCATGATGGCATGCACAGTGACGTCACAGAACACGGATTAACATTAAAACCAGCGTTTACTTTTCAAAAATCCACGTTTCTGGGAACTCTTTACGTATCGCTGGTGGTGGATTTGGATTTGAAGAAATTCTTCTTGAATACATGATCTCTGAGCTTGGAAAACTAATTCCGCTCCTATATCTAAAAGCAGCAACCCTTGGCTGGCCCCCACCAATGTGCCACATGGGTATTTCCGGAGGGCCCAAACTATATGTCCATGAAATCTTAATATTAACTAGTTTAGCTAAGTACCATTAAAATCTTATAAAGCATTTTACCTAAAATGCTTCTTTCGACTATTAATCAAAAAGTCTTTTCGTTATATATTACCAAAAATCTTTGATTATTGAAATCATACATTTTACAACTGGAGAAATCTTTAAGTAGAAAATAATATGAAGCAAAGTTGTGTTAGTCAAAAACATAAACTGAACTTGATGTATATACTTTTTAATTTTCATACTTTTCAACGTTGTAAAATATCCAGTTTTCCGGAAACTCTTTTCGAATCTGAGGTTGAGAAATGGAAGTGGTTGTTAAGGTTTCACTTGCCGGTACGCGGTTAAATAGTAGAGGACGTGGACCTGGGAAGCCAAGTGGGGGTCTAAAGAATATGCGTCTATCTATTAGGGACACAACATAAGGCTTTAATCTGGGAACGGGTTTTAGTAGATAGATAAAGATGTATATGTTACAGCGTTAATATTTAGGCGACAAAATACCACAGCACATAAGACACATTGGAAAAGCCTAGGAAAAATTGTGCGAATTTTCATACTTTTCAGCATTGTAAAAGATCCAGTTCTCCGGAAATTCTTTTCGAATCTGTGGAGCTTGAGTCGGAGATGAAGCTAATGACGGAGGTCCACCTATTCCTCCGAAAGCTGCTGCTGGCGCCGCAAGCGAAAATGCGATCGGCATCGGGAAAGCTCCATTTAGTACAAATGGATGGAATGAAAATGAATCTGATTGGGGATATACATGAAAATTATTAAGCGGTTAGGTGGGCCAAAAACTTTAGTGGTTCCCTTAACTCAATTAATGACAAAAGTAGTACACTCATGATGTAATACTGGAGCAAAATCTGATCCCTTATTGTGTTTAAATAGGACGAATTTGTGTAATTTTGGTGAAAGACAAAAAACTTTTCCACTTTTACCCTCAGCCAGAGTACTGTTCTATGGATTTAGTCTGGTTAGGTTGTAGGAAACATTAATTAAAAGCCATCATGTTCCAGAAACTCTAAAACCCACCTCCCGTTGCCAGATGTTTGCCATATCCAGACTTCTGCAAAGTTTGTTCGAACTACTTCGATTTTCATAGGTGAACTTGTAGAAATTGCGTCCACTTCGTCGTAGGCAACTTCAGCTCTGATATCAACAATATCATCGTATTCGCTTTCATACATTCTACCTAAAATTCACATTATAATTTTCTAGTTTGTTATAATGAGATGAGTGTTAAAAGTGATATTATCAGCAAAAAATGTATACATAGACACAGTTGAGACCCATAAAGCTTTTCAAAATGTTCGTACTTTTCCTTATTATAATAAATCCAGTTCTCTGGGAACTCTTTTCGAATCGCCTTCACTATATTTAGACTTTGAAAGTACGGGACATCAAAACTACGAAGTTCTAGGTAATCGAAGTCAATATGTTCTGCAGTGAAAAAAAAACCCGCGTATTAGTAGAGTGGTTGCATTGACAGCCTCAGCCATAGATTATATTTGCTTTTTGGCTCAAGAATTTACGATTAAAAAGCAGAGATAGAAGTGCGTTAGGGTGCAGAGAAGGTGGCGTCATTTTCTAGGCACCAACCTCCGGCCAAACGATTGCCATATCCAGACTTCGGCAAAGTTTTTACGTAACTTTACCGGTTCAACGGGGATCCCGGTATCAGGGGGAAAGTTAGCAATAACAGGCATTGGAGGCAAGCCACCAAACGAATCGAACTCAACATTTGCAGGGAAAACATAGCTTTCCGGGTCATCTTCGACATAGTCAGGAAAATCTGATGAAAGTTCATATTTTCTTATTCTTATGTATCTAAAATAACTTTTTCTAAAATCAAAGTTTAGCAGAGTGAATAAAAACCCTGAAAAAAATATACAAAAAGCCTAAAAATTAAACCTAAGTCTTACCAGTGGTGTAGGGATAGTTGGCATTGGTTAGAGTTACCAAGCCGGAGGTTTCTCCAGGATAACGTCCATAGCCACGTTGATAGGGTGTTGTTGTCTGGTACTTGTTGAGGCTATTGAAGATCTCATCCCGGCTCAAATCATTTCCAGACTTGAGCAGCAGCACACTCTGGTCCACACCCAGAAGACCCACAAAGGAGTCGGCATCGGTTTTCACCCGTAACTTAACCTCTTCACTGGGTTCCGCATCCACTGGAGCCGAGATATCAATCTGTTGTGGAAGAGAGATGGAAATTTAATTTCAGTTCAAGGGATTATTAGAGCTGTACATACCGAATTACTAAACTCTTTCTCAAAGTCGATAGTTTTCTCTTCGAAATGCAAGTCATTGTTCAGGACAAAATGAATATAGATAGTTGCCTTGGGCACCATGCTAAACGTGGGTGTAAACTTAACGGTGTAAGTGTTAAGACCCTTTGGCACGTCCACGTATTCACTCAGCAGAATATTACCTCTGGCCACAATCGTGTACACAAAATATGGAATATCATCAATCGATTTTACATCGAAAGAAACTCGCTCTCCCAATTTTGGCCTAAAGGAACAAAAAATCAGCTAAACGTTTCCACTTTTCGTGGTACTGTTTACTACTTACTTTTTTGTGTTCACCTCAATCTTAAGGGGCTCCCTATTGTCAATGGATGGCTCGAACCTGGAAATGGTTCCAAGTGTGCTCTCTGACCCGTCAAAGGTGGCAACAATTCGATAGAATCTGGATTCCACTTCGGGAAGCGTAACATTAAAGTTTGCAATGCCATTCGTGTTCACAGGTGCTTCAAACTCAATTCGTGGTGCAGAAGAACGCTCTGCAAAATAGCGATGAGCATTTTCAAACGATAGCTTGACCTTCTTCGCGGAACTCGTTACTGGAGACCCGTCAACGTTCTTCACAACAACCTGATAGGCGAACGACTTCATGCTATGGAAATGGTCTGGCTTTTCCAAATTTTCTATCACATAGCGCTGCTGATGAACGCGAACTGTAGCGGAGGCATTCTGTTTGTTGCCAGTCAGTTCCTCGGTGACTATTGCGAACAGTTTCATGGGTGGTGCGTAGGAGCCGTGTCGGAATTCTAGTAGATCAAACTCCACATGACCCTTACCATCGACATCGACCGTCTTCTCCTGTTTTCTTGCCTCGGAGTCACCAAAGTAGCTATAATTGGGTTCCATTGACACGGTGGCCTTGCCTTTGACTGGTTTGCCGTACGTGTACTTGGCGCGAATCGTGGCCTTGATCACATTATCTGCTAGGACCACATCCTTGGCTGTGTCCACGATGACCTCAAACTTGGGAAGCACATATTTGTCCACCTCAAAGGTCTTGGTCTCCCTGTTATCACCATCCACGCTGACTGAGATCTTCCAGGTGCCCAGGACAGGTTGCTCGGACAACTGAAGTTCCCCAGTGTAAACGCCTTTGGTCAACTTGACATCTGTAAACTGCTTGATCCGATTCTGGGCTCCGTCGGTAATAACGACAGATATGGGCTTGTCGATCTTGGCGGGTCGAGTGTTCTCATCCAGGAAGATAATACGGAACTGAACGAGATCGGCGGGCTTGTAGGTGGCCTTATCAGTTTGAACAAAGGTCGAGGCCTTCTTATCGGCGTAGTTCAGTTTGGTAGAATTCCGGAAAACCACACCGAAAATTCCCTCAGCAGTGAGATTATAGTCCCCGGTGGCCAATTTTGGCACCTCGAACTCCACACTCTCGGTGGACATGGGCGGCAGTCCGATTTGCTTTGTCTCATTGTAGGAGGGTCCATTCAGACTGACTTTTATCTGACTCGGACCATCTGCCTTGTGGACCGAAACGACGACATTGTACTTGGAGTTGGATCGAATGGTGCCAGGCCCAACCACCGTATACAGGCTGCAATATAAGTATATTTTTTAATCGAGTAATGGTGATTGTGCGACTAGGAATTACCGGATTTTAAATACCTAATTGCAATTTCATGTTTATTTGGATAATTAATTATCTTCTGCTGTTTGATTGATTCTCTTTAATGTTCGGATAATGAAAATAAACCTTTATTGTTCAGTAAGCCGACTGGTAAATACCTTTTAAAAGCACCCCAATAAAAAATGTATTTTTTTTTAATTTTGTTTTCAGGGGAACTTATAGTAAAAATGTATGTTAATACGTAATATGATAATAAGCACTTAAATGGTTGTGTTTTTCACTGTTTATTCCTACAACAAAAAGTTCCCCTTTTATGGCAGACAGTAAACATTAATTTATTAATGGTAGCTCGCCGATTAAATAAATGTGCCTTGCGTGTTAAATATTTTATTTAACTTCCGAAGTGCATTCCCTAACTTTTTTCAGAATTATGCAAAAGAAAACTAAGTAAAGTTATTTGATTTGTAAGCCAACAAGGTTTTCCAACCGGTTTTAAGGGAATCAGCAGCCAAATCAGACGTAGTCTTCAATATTTTCATACGTGGCTACACTCCCATAGCTATTTTTATTCGATGCTATATATGCATACGTTTATTTCGTTTTAATACCTTTCCGATGACCTCGCTTCCTTTGCAAAACTGATAAGTGATCAATTGTTTCTACATACACATACACAAACACTTATTGCACAACTTACCCAGTGGCATTGATTAGCAGGGCGAATTGTAAAAGAAATCCACACAAAAATATCCTCAACATTGTAAAACAGATGATCGGTAAACTGAAAAGCAATGTTTTTGTTATAGATTTCCGCACAAACGTTTACTGTTATTTCACACAATTGTTTTTATCACTCTGGCTGCCAGCAGGCACTCAGTAAAAAACTAACCTCGGGAACGACCGATCGCCAGCTAGTGGCGATTCACAATGAGCTTGTCTTGATTCGAGACCGGCTTTAAGTAGAATCGATGAGAGAGATGTCTCATTGATGTCTCTCTCGCACTCTCTTTATTATTTCGGGGAATTTGCACAACGTAAAACAAAATACAATTAGTAAACGTCACAGATGGTAAATCTGTTTACGAATTCTGTCTCTCTTTGTTGAAAAGCGTAGAATAAAATGCCGGTTTCAGAGAAGATGACATGTTTTGAATTGGAGAAATCAGAGCTTATTCTCTCCGCTCTGCCTAGAACATGAATCAGTTTCATTTTTCAACGATTCGTACTGATAACAGAGGCCACTAGGAAAACCCCGTGCTTACGACTTGTTTGTATGTTAAAATAAAATTTTCTCAGAACTCGACTTGTCGGAACATCTTATCTGTGAATAGACTTGAATTTCTTTTGTAAGTGATTTTATTCAAGCGGAACATCTGTCCCAACCGAGTTCGTTAACCAGTTAATTCATAATAAACAATATAGTTGTGAGCTAATTAAAACGTAAGCTGGAATGTATGTACATATGTACATTATTCATATACATTTTATAGGGAAGGTTGTTTTTGCTCAAATAGTGTTACATACCGTTAAAAAGATTGTTATTTAGATGCATGATTATTTTATAATTACACATTTATACTATCGGTTACATTATGAGCATTACACTTAAATTTCTTCATATCAAAGGCACTTGTATTAGAACTTCAATACCAGTATTTTCTGTTGGTGCGGGTCACAGCTAAAACGCTTTCAGGAAAAGCTTTTAAGCTCCCCTAACTTGAATTTGCTTACATATTTTTTTGGATAGCTTGTTGCGCCAACCTCTTGGGGAATTCAATCATAGCAAGAGCATTTGGCGACTTGAGAAATCAGTTGGCAGCGAGCTTTCAAGCGGACAACAGGTGATCGCGAGCGTTCCGCAGCAGAGGTGAAAATCGCGAAAAACCAAAAGCGAGTAAAGTCGCTCCAAAAACGCGCACTTCGTCTTGGGCAATCTGCGGTGCTTTTTGGTGCTGCTGCAATCGCGAGTGAGACAGAGTGATATATAAACAACGGGAGTGCGAGGGAGAAGGAGCAAAGCGGCTGCCCACGGCAATAAAGTTCGACTTGATTTTTGTTTTAATATGTGATGCCAATACACAATTCCACAATCAAGAAAACGTGTTTACACTTAATTTGCTAACGCGATTCAAAAAGAAAAGTAACAAAATGCGCCTCCAGGGAATGGATATGGGAGCTATTCCAGTGCTGATCTTAGTCACCGTGTGTTTATTCTACCAAATATCGGCCCAGGGGTTAGTATATCGCACACACACCTCATCCACACAGGTGACACATTGAACAAGCTAACGAAAAATGGAAAAATATTAAAATGCTGCGAAATGACATCACTCCCATACACTCCAGATGAAGCCAGGAAAACAAATGACTTAGACGGGGAACTCAAAAGATGAGTGCGAACTTCGGGATAATACGATATGCCGCCACGCAGATCTGTAATTAACAACATGTAATCAGGAAATTAGCCCTGGGTTTTATTACTGTCATAATAAGCTGACAAGACCGAAACAAGTCGGGAGATGAAATAACCCGAAGCCAACGCGATTTTTGGAGGCGAATTTGAAACTACCTACGCGTATTTAACTCGTTAGGGTGATGCAAGGTGGGAAGATGCTAAAAAGGAAATGCATTCCGATGAAAAATAAGCTAAAAATAAAACTTGCATAATTTTTTTAATGTAATTGATGAAGGCATCCTAAATTGGAAGGCTTTATTGTGTTATCAGGACTATTATTTATTTTAATGCTAAAAGCATTGACACAGAAACGCATAATTTTCGTTACTTTCCAATCGGTAACTTTGGTTATATTCTATACTTTTTATTTTAATGCAAGGAAGGGTTAAGAACAACCTTTTTCCTATATATCATGATAGCTAGGTATCTGAGAGAAGTATTAATATTATCTGAAACAGAATCATGGTCTTGCCCGCTCGATTTACCCCGATGTTTGAGGTGACACATAAACATGGATTGCTACTTGTGTACTCATTTCCGATGGTTCACCTTGAAAGCTGACCAGTCGAGGCGATCTTATAATCACTTTGCCAATTTATTCTGCTATACTATGGCTTACCAAGAACTGTGATTGATCGAGTACTGGCAATACCAGTGGAGGCGTCTACTTCTGCTGCTTTCCTCCTCTTTCTTCGTAAATTCATGATCTGTCATTGAGTTGGCTCGAGTTCAATCTGCTTCCATATATGGGGCACTCATTCAAGGCTTGATTTCGCCAGCTCATATGGGTGAATTTCAATCAATTGATTCTGGTTCGGATAGGAGCAGATCAGCTATGAAATTCGCCTGGTTACATTCGTTTAACACCCCATGGCAGAATCAATCAGGTGGAACATCGCAACTGCAACTGGAAACTTGAAGCTTGCATTTTGTGGGCAATTTGAGCAAAAGCGAAATTGTTTTTGCCATTTACCTGCTGGCTGAAAACCGTTTTGCGAGACCGACCACCACCGGGGGAACCTGTTTTTTTAGGCTAACAAACGTGACATAAACACAAAAGAAAACTTTTGGTGGGAACAGGTTAGGACCGCCACACCAATTGAAATTAGAACGGGCGGCAAACTGTGAATTACACCAAAAGCTGGCACAGTTAGGAGTCAGTTCATAAATTTAGCAATTTGGCTACCAGTTAAATGAATAGCCCGAAACTTACTACCAAAAAACAAGTGCTAAATGGAAAAGCTAAATTAAAAAGCGTTGCATAGTTTGAGCAACGTGGTTTTTGAATGCTCTTTTTGCAGAAATATTCAAGTGTTTTAAATATTCTCGAAAACTCCAAGCTCAAACATTTGGGTCTCCTTATCACTATTGTTTCTGTTTTTATACAAACCATGTCACTGTCAATTATATTATAACCCCTTAATTATGAAATAACTTAACATAAACATAATACAAAAAAAACGTATTGAAATGAGACTCGAAGTCTTTGATTTCTTCGGTTAAAAAGCTACCAAATTCTGCACTTCCAGGAAGAGACAAAAGAAAACCACACAAAAATAGTTATAGCTCGAGCCACTCTGCCGCACTTCCCACAACGCCGACCCCGACTCCGAACCTTCAACCACTTTTAACCACCTCAAACCATTTCCGACAAATGCCACACCGCAGCGATTGATGCTGACCCGACCGAAGAGAGTTAAAGTACAATACCCCTTTCGGTTTGGGGTATTGTCTTCCGTTAGACGCGTGAATGAATAGCGAAGAAAAGATTCAGATAGCATAACAGCATAGGTGTAATCCACTTATCTACGAACATTAAATCTGAAGCACTTTTTGTATGCTTTTTGGACGGCAGTCGGCAGTTGTTTTGGAGTAAATGAAAAGTAGCAGTTATCAAAACAAGGGGAAATTTATAAAGCTAGATAAATAAGAATAATAATAACAAAAAACATTATCTGCTCATTTCGTGTGCAGTTGATTTAAAGTAAAAAAAACAACGGTATTATTATTTTTAAAACCAAACAAGCTTAACAACATTTCACAATAAATTTAATTATTTATTTGCTGTCATTCTCATAAATGTTACAGTCTGTACTCCATTATTGCACCGAATACAGTGCGTCCGAATTCACAATTCCACGTGGCCGTAAGCTTGCATAATGCACCGGAATCTGCCACATTCAAAGTGGGAATCCTTGGAAGCTCTTACACGGATTTTAAGACAGTGGAGTTGCGGCCATTTTCCACACAACTTCTGCACTTTGAGGTGGGTATCTATCTTCTGACTACGCTTTAGCAAAGGAGCTCATCTAAATCTTAAAAATTTCTAGATTCCTGCCCTAAAAACCGACAGATATCGTCTCACAGCTGAAGGTTTTGGTGGAGTTCAGTTCACCAACGAGACTCAGCTACATTTCGAACGCAAACAACATACTGTTTTGGTTCAGACAGACAAGAGCATCTATAAGCCAGGCGATCTGGTTCATTATCGTGTGCTTGTTCTTGATGCCAATCTAAAACCTGCTCGAGGTTATGGACGTGTGCATTTGGATATCAAGGATTCGGGTGATAATATTATTCGGAGCTACAAGGACATTCGCCTGACCAACTCCATTTACTCGAACGAAATTCGATTGTCGGATTATCCACGCTTTGGAACCTGGTCCATTGTCGTCGAAGTATCGGAACAAACCTATACACAGACTTTTGAGATCCTTGATCATATTCTGCCCAAATTTGTGGTAGACATTGATACACCCAAGCATTCCATCTATAAGGATGGAAAAATAGCAGCCACTGTTAAGGCGCAGTAAGTACTTTATATCTTCAGTGCAAAATTAAAATTTCAAATTTATAAATATTTTTCAAATAGCTATGCCTTTGGCCAGCCAATTGTGGGCGAGGCCACCCTATCCATTTATCCCACTTTCTTTGGCTCGCTTCAACCTTTTGTGAACGATTTAATCACCCGAAAAGTTGTGCCCATTGATGGCAATGCGTACTTTGAGTTCGACATAGAGAATGAGCTACATCTTAAGCAGGACTACGAAAGGCAGTATCTCTTGGATGCTCTGGTTGAGGAGAAATCCACGGGATCGGTGCAGAACTATTCAACAGTCCTGACGCTCCACTTGAATCACTATCGCGTGGAGACTGTCAAGGTGCCCAGTTACTATATTCCTGGAGTGCCCTTCGAAGCTACAGTAGGTAGTAATGTAAAATGTATTTTATAACAATAACAATCTTATTTTCCAGGCTCGAATTATCCGTAATGATGGCGGCCTACTGAGGGATTTCAATCCTCAAATCACCGCCTATTTGACAAATGTTTATGGCAGCAGTGAAATGTATAATCGCACTTCCTATAATTTGGACGCCAGTGGCGAGATCAAGATGAAGTTCACTGTTCCAATCGGAGATCGGGATGAATTTCATTCCATTATTGTCGATTACCAGGGTGTGATTAGTGAGGTGGGAAAGATCCCGAGAAAACATTTGCACAGCAAGAACTACATTACAGCAAAGGTGTTGAATGACAGGTGGGTACGGATAATAAGGTTACTCATATAAATGCATTTCTAATTTTTGTTAATTTTTAGACCCACTGTAAATCAGGAAATTTCTGTGGTAGTGCGCTCTTTTCAGCCCATCAAATATTTTATGTATCAAGTTGTCGGACGTGGCGATATTATTCTTTCTCGCAATGTTGATGTAAGTATTTATTTTCAATATGAATTTATTTTGATTTGAATATTTTATATCTTTTTAAGGTGACCGAAGGTACTTTCCACACCATCAAATTCCTGGCTCCATTTGCAATGATGCCTCGTGCCAAGCTGCTCGTGTACACCGTAGTAAATGGAGAGTTTGTATATGATGAGCAGGTCATACAGTTTGAGGAAAATCTGCTGAATGCGGTACAAATTGAGGCTCCAATTAGAGCACCTCCAGGTCAGGATATTGATATAGGTATCAGCACAAAGCCCTACTCGTATGTGGGTCTCATGTTAGTGGATCAAAATGCCAATGCCCTAAGGAGTGGTCACGACATAACCCACCGACGGCTCATGGATGCCCTGCGCTCATACGAATTGAGCGATGTCAATACCCCAACGGGGTCACCTGGCAAGGAATCTGGCGTAATAACCATGTCCAATACAGATTACTTTGTTGAGAAAGAAGCTGAGAGCAGTCCGGCATTAGGGCGAGATATTTCCACCGGTCCTGAAGAAGATAAACTGACCACTGTGCGAAAAACAGACATTGGACCTGCCCATAAGATCGAGGTTAATACCTTACCTCCTGGCAAGGGGCGATATGCCTTCTCCTATACACCAAAGCCCTTCTGGCACAATCCAAGGGTTCATGTGATGAGAGATCCGGCGGATACGTGGCTCTTCTTAAACATCTCGGCTGGCAGCGATGGAAGGAACTCGATCCACCGAAGGATTCCCAGTGAGATGACTTCCTGGGTTGTTTCCGCCTTTGCCCTGGATCCGGTTAACGGCTTGGGACTGTCGGCGCCAAATGGCAAAATGGAGACCTACAAGGAGTTCTACATAACCACAGAGCTACCTTATTCTATTAAAAGGGGTAGGGCAATTGTAGTTTGTAATTGAATGTATGGATAATAATTATTATTTTACTTTTACAGATGAACTCATTGCCATTCCATTTGTGGTGCACAACAACAGGGAGAGCGATCTAAATGTGGAGGTCACCTTTTACAACTCAGCTCTGGACTTTGACTTTCCCCAGTTGGATCCCAAGGCCAATCAACCAAGTAAGTCCATGTTCAGGTGACTTTATTTAAATTGACTTAAATCCATTTCTTTTTACAGAGGTGGAACTCTACAAGCGTAGATCCCTGAAGGTCCCTGGAAAATCGGCCCGGTCTATCTCTTTCATCGTAACACCCAAGCGAGTGGGTTCGCTTTTGGTCAAAGCAATGGCTGCCTCTTCTCAAGCCGGTGATACTGTGGAGCAAAATCTACTTGTGGAGCATCCTGGAGCCACGGAACGGATTAACAGAGGTTTCCTATTTGAACTGAACTCAAATGCTCAGAACAGAAGGAATGTCACCATTGCCGTTCCACGAAATGCTATTCCCGAATCCACTCGAATCGAAGTTTCAGCCGTTGGAGATCTGGTTGGCAGCTTAGTGGGTAATCTAGAGAACCTTATACTCCTGCCCACGGGCTGTGGTGAACAGACCATGGTAAACTTTGTGCCAAATCTGATGGTCCTTCGCTATTTGGGGGTAAGTGAGTGTCAATGAGTTTTAGATCATTACTAAATGTTTTGAAACTATTTTTTCAGCGCCTTCGCCAACTCACTCCGGAAGTGGAGTTGCGTGCCACGAACAACCTGGCAGTGGGCTATCAAAGAATTCTGTACTATCGTCATGAGAATGGTGCTTTCAGTGCTTTTGGCTTAGATGCTAAGCGGAGCTCAACCTGGCTAACGGCCTACGTGGCCCGATCTCTACGTCAAGCGGCACCCTTCACCCAAGTGGATAGCAATGTCCTCCAGAGTGCTCTGACTTATCTGGCAAGTGTTCAGTCCGCAAATGGTGGCTTTGAGGAGCGTGGCGATGTCTTCGAGAGATTTGGCGACGATGGCATTAGTTTGACTGCCTTTGTTACGCTGGCTCTAATGGAAAATGTGGTAAGTGAAAGTGCATGCTTAGAACGAAGCGATATTTAGTCCATGTTGTCCAGGATCTCTATCCGGAATATCGGAATAACATCAACAAAGCCCTGGACTTCATCACTAGAGGCTTGGATGGATCTGATAATCTGCATGCTATGGCTTTGGGTACTTATGTGCTTTCTCGAGCTAATCATAACGCCAAGGCCGCTTTTCTTCAGCGCTTGGATTCGATGGCTACCAATAGGGGTGAGTTTAGGCTTTAAAGTTCTATGAAAGTAATAAAAAAATAATCCTCTTCCAGATGGTCGCAAGTGGTGGAACAAGACGGCACCAGCTGGTGAACAGCAATCACCATGGTATAATGCCACCCGAAGTGTCAACATCGAGATCTCCGCTTATGCGGCCTTGGCTCTGTTGGAAAACAACTTGGTGGGCGATGCCCTGCCCGTTTTGAATTGGCTAATGGATCAACGGAACTCCAAAGGTGGCTTCGTGGCATCACAGGATACGGTGGTGGGCCTCCAGGCACTCCTCATGTTTGCCGAACGCTTTTCCAGTCAGGGAAATAACCTCCAAATTGGCTTCCATTATGGAGAAGGAGCCGAAACGATTATTAATGTGAATGCTGAAAATTCGTTGGCTTTGCAAACGGTTGAGGTAAGCTCAGAAATATTATGAACTTAACTAGTAATGAAATATTATATTGATATACTTTTTAGCTACCCAACAACCTTAAAAACCTAAGTGTTTCGGCAACTGGTCGGGGAATGGCCCTGGCCCAAGTTAGCTACCAATATAACACGAATGTGACCAGTGCCTGGCCGCGATTTGTGCTCGATCCCACTGTGAATCGGAACTCGCATGCGGATTACCTCCATCTCTCGGCCTGTGCCAGTTTTGTTTCCGTGGTGGGCGAAACAGAGCAGCGATCCAATATGGCCGTGATGGAGGTTCAGCTGCCCAGTGGTTTTGTTGTGGACATGGACACACTGCCCACCCTCGAGTCGAGTGAGCGCATCAAGAAGGTCGAAACCCAGAACAGGAACACCAAGGTTGTGATCTACTTTGATTACTTGGACAGGAGGGAGGTCTGTCCCACGCTGCATGCCTACAAGACGGTCAAGGTCACCAAACATCGACCTGTGGCGGTGGTCATGTATGATTACTACGATAGTGGTAAGTCGGTCAAATCGTAGTTTAATACTAATCGTTTACTTATGTTTCAATCATCACTCTGCTTCGCATTTAAAGCTCGTCGTGCCAGACAGTTTTATAGGGCGCCCAAGTCCAACATCTGCGACATTTGCGAACACGCCAACTGCGGTGACCTCTGCGAAAAGGCCGAGAAGCGCGAGTCCAAGCGACCTGATGATTACACGGCGATTGCGGGTCATAATTCAAGTCCGGAGGTCAAAGCAATGCCACTTGTATCGATGGTGGTGACGGCTCTGATGATTCTCTTGAAGACCCTTAGCTGTTAGACGATAATGTTATTGCCACAAAACGTGGATCCAACAAGGAAATCGAAGCTTTAACAAAACCCACTCACATAGTCCCTAAGCTAGCCTAATGTATGCCGTGAACAAAACCTGATACAAGTACATCTAACGATGCTAAAGTGTTGCCAATAAACTGTTATAACGTTTACTAAAACCTCAACGAAATTTTTAAAAATCATTTTTTGATTGACAATAATGGTGAGCAAATCTTAAAAGCTCAGTAATTTAGTTTTGTTTGGTAAATAAGCGAACAAATTTTGCAAGCTATTTTTATTTGTATTATTTTGTAAGCTTATTTATTCAGCTGGCGTATCACCCATACGTATTATTGTCTTCAAACAATATGATGAACCCTACTGCTACTGGCTTATTTACTTCAATTAGAGCGCTAGTCACAACACATTGGTATTTGTTAAACAATTTTAAGATGACAGTATTACTTTAACAGATACATTGTTTTTAATATAATACTTTGTTCTTTACAAAAGTGAATTTTAATATAATTTGTATAATGCTATTGTTATAGTATTGTATTTAATTTTTAATTTCGCTGTAAAGTTTTTTCCAAGGTTTTTGGTTTTGCTTTTTGTTTTTTTTGCTTGACAGAAACCATTTTTGGTTGACAGCTTTAAATAAATAGTGTACAAATATAGCTCCACCCACAATTGCTTCTGGTCCAGCATGGTAAATTCGTTGTGCAGACTTAAGTGACAATGGCCAATCAACCGACCCCGACGCAACCACCGCGCAAGGAGAGGCGCATCGAGCGGGACGAGAACCGTGGCCAGTGGACGTCGAAGTGGGAGTTTGTCCTCTCGCTCATGGGCTATGCCATCGGTATTGGCAATGTGTGGCGCTTTCCCTATCTGTGCTACCGCAGTGGCGGCGGTAAGTCTTCACCAACCATCCAACAGCTAAACATATACAGACACAGACACAGCCAGCAACCAACCACCCAACCACCCTCAATCACCCACCGTCGTCCATCAAATCGTTGGGTTAGCTCAAGCTCTTAAAATAGCGCAGCCAAAATGACGTCAGCAAACGAGAGTGCAGCACTGAGTGGTGGCGGTGGTTATTTTTATTTTATAGCTTTCGAGTGAAAGCTGGCAAAGCTCCAGCACTCATGATGGCCATCTGGCCAACCGAACGGCGACGCCTTCGATAGCTCAGTTGGTAGAGCGGTGGACTGTAGAGTTTCCGATGCTTGATGATTCGAGTCAGGCAGGGCTCTGGGCCAAACAATACCAATTCGCCCAGATACCGCCTGCTCCTGTATCATCAGTTACTTGATGCGCAATATGTATTGTAATATGTTGAAATCCATAGGTCGCTGGTTCAAATCCGGCTCGAAGGATGCTACTTTTTGGGTCCTTTATTCTTTTTTTTCCTTTTGTCTTTTGCAAGAAATGTTGTCACGGTGTTTTTACTTATTTGTATTACAGTTTTATTTTACCGTATTATATATTTTTTTCCAAATTTACCGAAAACAATGAATTAGTTTGCTGATGTTTCGGAAAAGAAATCCAATATTATTTAAATACACAACCATTATTAAAAGTACAAAAATCGAACATCAACTTTTTTTGTATTTTGTATTTTTTGTTTATCTTGTACAATTAACTTGTAATTAAATGTTATGTATTATGTATTGTAAACATTTACATTTCCATCATCTTTTTCAGCCGCCTTTCTCATCCCCTACATGCTGATGGTAATTCTAGTCGGTATTCCCCTATTTTATATGGAGATTTTAATCGGACAATTTTCGAGCACTGGATGCACGGGCATGTTCCGCCTGGTACCCCTATTTAAGGGAACTGGAATCGCTCAGGTTGTAGTGAACGCATTCTGCGTCTGCTACTACTCGGTGATTATATCGTACCCCATTCGCATGATCTCCTACTGCTTTTTCAAGAAGGTGCCTTGGGAGGACTGCCATAATCCATGGAACACCGACGATTGTGTAGCCGGAACTAACGTGAGCTATAAAACTAAGAATATTATCCACGTAATACTGTCAATTTCGATTCTTTAGTTGGGAAAGCAAAATAGTACTGAGGGATTTAACACTGCCTCCGACGAGTTCTTTCAGTGAGTGCCAAAAATTAAACATATTGATAAACATACTTTATAAAGAGATTTTTAAAAAATTTTTTCATCCTCTTTTTGACAGTATTTTATTTGAAAATTTTTCAACTCTATCCATTTTCTTTGAATATGAATATAAAAATCCTTGCAAAGATTATTAATTATAACACTATTTCCATGTTTAAAGATCCATATTTATTTCTTTTAGCTTAGAAGTCCTTAGAATCTCATCAAACATCTCCGAGTTGGGCGGCATGGTGTGGCAACAATTACTGAGCCTGCTGGTCACCTGGATTGTTGTCTACCTGTGCTTAATACGTGGAATCAAATCAGTGAGTATTGCAGTCCGGGTTATGCTAGATCGAACTTCAGCCCGTTAAATACAGGTGGGCAAAGTCGTGTACTTTACGGTCCCCTTTCCCTACATCCTGCTCTTCATCCTGCTCGTCAGAGGTGTCACATTACCAGGGGCCTGGTCGGGCATCAAGTTCTACCTGTATCCCGAGTGGCATCGACTGCTGGACCTCAAAGTCTGGGCCGATGCCGCCGTTCAGATGTTCTTCGGCATCGGACCCGGCTGGGGTGGTCTCGTCAATATGGCCAGTTTTAGCAACTTTCGGAACAACGCCAAAAACCAATCGATTCTCATAGTTTCAGTCAACGTGTTCACCAGCATCTTTGCCGGCTTTGTCGTCTTCTCCGTGCTGGGTTTCCTTTCGGGTAAGCCCTTTTGCGATAAATACATAGTGATACGTCATCAGTGGTCGTCAATCCAAAGAAAAGACAAGCATACCCGTGGAAGACGTGGCCACCGGTGGAGCGGGACTGGCATTTGTCACCTATCCGGAGGCCATTGCCATGCTGCCAGTTCCACAGCTCTGGGCGCTAATGTTTTTCGCTATGCTCTTTCTGCTAGGCATCGACAGTGTGGTAAGTTTGGCATTTATTTAATTATTTTTTTGCTTTATTGTTTCCTAGCATGACAAGTTTTGTAATTTAAAAATTACTATAGTTACTACGATTATAAAATGAAATCTTACTGATAGACAAAGTGTAGAGCGTTAACAAAATACAGTAATTATAAGATAGATTTAAGTTATAAGTTTAATATTAAATTTGATCACTGAATATTCTTTTTTTTTTTTTTTTTTTTTGTTTTAAGATCACCAAATATCTATCTAACTCTGTTCCAATCCACAGTTTGTACAACTGGAGTCCATCATGTCGTCTATTCAGGATGAGTGGGCGTGGGTAAGGAAGCACAAATGGAAATTGACCCTTACTTCTTGCTTCGTTTTTTTCGCCCTCTCCTCGATAATGTGCACAAATGTGAGTACCGCATGGACTTTACTTTGTCATACATTTTCTAACTCATATTACAGGGTGGAATGTACATCCTACAATTGTTTGATTGGTACTCTTCGGCTATAGCAGTAATTGTTATCTGTCTGGTGGAGATTATTATGGTAGCTTGGATTTATGGCATTAAAAACTTCATGCTGGATACAGAGTTTATGCTTGGTAAAAGGCCAAGTCTATATTGGAGGATCTCGTGGCAGATTATCACTCCCCTAGTCTTAATCGTAAGTAGTTTCGATTGCTTCGGCATTAACAACTAAATGGTTTTTATGCCCACAGTTTATTCTCATTACAAGCATCGTGTTCATTAGAACAATCACCTACAACGGCGTTTCGTATCCGGATTGGGCCGTTTATATCGGCTGGGCTAGTTTTGCAGCATCAGTAATGTGGATACCGCTGTACATATTCTATATCATGATCCGCAAGCGTGCCACATTGTGCGAAAGTCTGAAGAAGCGTCTCAAGCCCTTGGATTGGACTCCGGCGGATCCGCAAGATCGGGCAGACTACGAAGCCTTCCGGAGGCAGCGACAAATGCCGGCATTTATGTCTGACACAGACATGGAGGGCACCAAATAGATTTCTTTATTTATTAATTATTAACACTTAATTATTAACACAAAAAAACAAAAGGAAAACCTAAACCTAAACCTAAAACAAGAACGGAACCTTACTTCGACAAGCCTATGTTGTTAAGCCCTTTTAAATTTTTTTATATTTAAATAAAAAAGATCAAGGATATATTGCTCACTATGATATCCGCCAGACAAAGTATGCAGCCGTAAAGTATGCCTTGCTTATATGGAGCACATGATTGAATACGTTTCCCAAATAAAATCCAGTACTCTTTTCAATCTAATTACGAGTATGACACTTTTTTTTAAACAAAACGTGGAATACTCATAAAATGTTTTATATAGATATTTTAATTTCGATGTCAAGTAGATTTGTTATTATATCGCTACTTAATTCACCTCCTCCGTAACTTCGAAGAGCTGGTGGGTCATTTCGGTGTTCCCGACAGCTTCCTCGTACTGCTGGCGATGCTCCATCTCAACCGGGTACCAATCGGTGGGTCGACAGGTGCGCTTAAACCGTTCGCAAAAGGTGCCCGTGCTCTGGTAAAGGTAGTAAAATCCGTAGCCAGGTATTGCCAGAATGGGTAGCGCCACCAATAGAATGGACATTACGAGGACAATCACTGAAGAGTAGGAGTGTTCCATTAAGGACAAACCTATTCCCGACAGCTAGTAGAAAGAAAATTAAATTTAAGCTTATACAAATATATAGACAATGTTGTTCATCCAATACTAACCAGACAAATCACTAATATAAATGGAGCTATGAAGCGAAGTATAAAAATCTTCCATGATGCAAAGGGCTGACCCAACATAAACTCAATATCGCGCTGGAATCGTTCTCGGCCGTAAATCCACAAAACCACCAAAAGGAGCAGCAAATGAAGGAGACTGTGTGAGAATATAGCATCAAGTCCCAAGGCAGAAAAGAAAGTAATTCCATGCTAAAGAATTAAGGAGATATAAAACTTTTAAATACCAACTGAGGAATTAAGAATTTTTTAGATATGCCAGAGAAGTATTTTTAATTTTAGAAGATTTTTCCAAGCGGTTATACTTACATTTGTACAAAAGAAGAAGGAACAGACCGCAAGGCCACCAATAAGGCCGAAGGTAACCTCCTGTTTTTTGGCTCTAAGTTGCTCAAATTCATCAAACAAACTTTGCAGGAGAGTAAAGATTTGCGTAGCCTGCAATGGAAAACATGTGTTTAAAAATATAATTGTTTCTAGCAAAATTTCACCCACCATTACGATAAGAGCAGCCATCAATAGCATAAAATAGTAAATAAAAGTCCACAGATTCGGCCAATCCATTGAGGCCAAGGCAGAAGCACTGGACAAAAACAACAGCCAATGGGCCATTACATGAGAGTTAAATGAACCTTCATTGAGTTCTGTAATTAAAAATAATTTAAAACTAAAGAGGGTTTTTGGGTAAGTTTAAAGCCTACTTTTAGCGTACCTTAAGGACGAAAAAACAGTCTTCAAAAAATATTAAAAAATAAAATGTAATTACCATTATAGTATCGATCCAGCATAAAGGAAACCATTCCAAACATGATGTAAATAAAGATCTGTCCGAAGGAAATAATCCAACTATATGACATGATGTTGGTCTTGAACCCATTAAAACTGGACAGGGCAATCACACTGCCCCAGCCAGCTCCAAACGCATGTAGCACCATGACAAACGTTGCGGGAATTCCCATTGCAATATCCTCTGCCCTTGGAGTCATAAATTTCTTTAGCCCCAGAATAGCTCCTGGAAGAAACAGAAAGCGCACAAAGCACACCAAAAGCAGGGCCAGGGTCCCAATAACCATGTAACGTATGAGCTTTCCAAACTTGGCAGTTTCCGAAAATTTATAAAAAATAATGGCAATCAGCGCCCAAACCACAACAAAGAGACCCACAAAATGCCAGGATAGCTCATAGTCCTCAGTCAAATCCGGAAAACTTTCTTCTCGAATACTGTCAAAGTGATTTCTGTAAAAAAATTAATTGTGTAGAAGGTTTAATAAACGAAAGCAAAGCAAACTATAAATTGGATGTATACATTTTTGTAGCGAGTGTGTGCAATTAAAACTTACTGAAAGTAGAGAACCGAAGGCACATGAAGAATTTTTCCGAAATAGTACGTGTCGTTTTCCATGCTAGCTAAATCTTCCGCAGTCGTTGTGATATTGCACACCTTGAAGCAACATAAAAATATTAATATCATTTTTAAATTTAATGTTTTTACACAAAATTCCTACAGTCGATTGCCCAGAGGAATCATTATACCAAGACTTTAGTCCTTCGCAGCTCCAAGGTAGAGTGGGTCGAAAAGAGTTAACCATGAAAAGGAGCGGAACAGCAGCAAAAATACTATAGTAAATGAGCATGGCGATGGTCAGAAAGAAGCTCACATATCCCATGCCTAAAATTCATATTTATATATAATATTAATATATTAATATTCTATCTCTTTAACAACATCGTTTCTTACCTTTGAAAAAGGGAGAGAGGCGAAAGGCTGAGATAAAGCCACTGCTAGAGAACTGGCCCATGAAGGAGTGAATGACCATGATTGGAACCAAATATATCACCATATATACATAGTAGGGCATCATTCCAAAAACTAAAAAAAGAAAATAAAATATTTCAAATTATTTGTATTTTTGCGCTAAGCAAAATTCATCATAGCATATTCAAAATTACTTGTCCAAGAAATCAATAAATGTTATATATATAATCCTATATATTCCGTTATGAGCCAATGTGTTATATGTCAGATCTGTAGGTAAGAAATAGAATAAGCAGTGCAACGCCCCTAAATAGATTAGACTAACCCTGAACTTATCTGCTATACAATATACGTACGTACTGCGTATGAAAACCATTACTTACGGCCCATATCGAAGAAGAACCAATACGAGGCCACAAAAACATCCAATTTCAAAGCTAATCCAAAACAGGCAAACATATAATCCGTGGGTTTTTCCCATTTCCCTCGATTCAGATCGGGAGTAAAGGGCTTGAGGCCACTGCCATATGATGTTTCATATACCATGTTGTGATGCCAATATTTGGCCCCGAAACTGAAGCGAATACAAAATGTAAGAAGGTTTTTTAAATGCGAACAAGATCCGATTTTATACGCGGATAAAGATATTATTATTATATGTTTTTTGTGAACGGCAAACGATCCGCGAGCGCTTTGCTTTAAATTGACGGACTAATTAGTAGAACCGATGCCGGCGAACTGAACCCGATTGCGACAGCAAGCTGCTGTTCAGCTCATTTCACTGGATGAAGATGCACATGCTCTTTCGCTCACGATTCATACCATTCAGATTCATTCTGAAATACATAAACGTGCTATATTGCATCGGCTTACTTAAAAATACATACTTTCCTTTTCAAATCTTTTACGAAAGAATTATAGAATTATGTGTACATCATACGTACTTTCCAACCGAATTGGAGAAAAGGAAAATTTTAAGGCATAAAATAAAAAGAAATTCGAAGGGTATAAAATAATTACCTGAGACCAACAGCTCTCATTTCACTTTTAGGCCAAGCCATAAGCCAAAATTATAAAAATATGTAAAATGACATCATGAATTTCGTTAGGGTATTTCCATCCCCGATCATGACGAGTCTTCTCTGTTATTTTATTTTAAATTTACATTATCAGAGCTCTTATAATTGTGTCTGTCTCACTTGCGTTCGCATATCGTCGTGCATTGCCAAGTTCGTTTCGAAGCGGGAACTGGAAACTGATATTTTTGTGCTCGGAAAATGGGCAGACAAACAGCCGCAATGTCATCAAAGCTGGGGAAAAACTCAATGAGCAATGCAAAAACAAGTAAAAACATTGCTCTTGCTTTTGAATTAAATTATACGCTGATTAAGTGTTACGCATTGAATCACTTATATTCGTTTCGCTTGGACTCAACGAGGCGTTCTTATTGATTTAGCTATAAATTGATAATTGAAAGATGGTCTTACCTAGTGCTATCAGTGTTCAAATGACCAAAAATTTAAATCGGAGGCATAATAAAAACTATTAAACATGTTTAAATTATATAAAGCTAATTTATATGTGCAACATTTGCTCTATGAGATAACCTTGGTGAACCTTTCCACTTTTTTAAAATGGTTTTTTGTTTATAAATAACTAAAAGGAAGCTTCAGAAGCTTTAATAGCTATTTCTATCAAATCAATCATTTATTTCAGTAGAAAATGTATTTTTTTCTTGTTGATCAAGTCCAAAAGTTTACAATTCCATCCCATTATTTTCCGTTTTCTTGCATAGGAACAATCGGATAAATAATTATTATTATAATTTGTAGTTTATCTGGATATGTAGCCGCCTTCTAAAATTTTTAAGAAATACCTTGAGCGGAATGGTATGTAAACATGGAACTGTCAAATTGTATCACTTTTAAAATTCAAGTGATGGTCAAAAATATGAGTTCTTCAAAGCCATTAAATTATTTTACTTGCACCTAAAAAGATTCCCAATTGTCAATCACATTACATAGCTAAAAGGTAAAACTTTATTAATTCGTAACAATATTTTTTGGCCGAAGCTTGTTGAACTTTTTAGTGGGCAACTACTAAATATCACCAGTTTATAGTTCACTATAGCTAGCATTTGGAAAATATCAGTACAATTCCATTTAAAAATCAACCATCACCGTTTGCACTTGATCTGCATATATGTATGTACAATCGTGCGCGAGTGTGTAGTTTTTTTTTCTGGTGTAAGTGTGTAGGTGTGACCGCTTATGGGTGTATAATAAAAGTGAGTTCAGTTCAGTTCATTTGTCATGTGGCGACGATTAAAGTGTTGAGTTTTGATCTAAAGAGTATTTGTTAATTAGGCACTATGTGGTATTGGCATTAGCATCGATCACCAGCATCTCGGAGATGCCCATGATTTCCTCGTAGAATCGCCGGTTATCCGCATCCACCGGATGCCAGTCGTGTGGTGCGAGGCACTGTTGCAATCGCTGGCGCCAATCGCCGTTCGTCCGCGACACCTTAAAGACCATATACGATATGGCCGTCAAGAGAATCAAGCCCTGACTCACATAAATCAGGACATCGTCGACTTTGTCACGCAGAAGTAAAAAGCTGATTTGAAACTGCCAAAACGAAAAACATTAGTCT